CAGATAATATATAGAATATTACCTATGATAAAATGTTAAATACTGATGTATATTTATTCTAATCACATATAAATTTAAACTCAAAATTTTCATAAAAAGAAAATGAGAATTTTTCGCAAATATAAAGTAAATAATATTACATATTTCAGGTTGATTGACGAATACTCCACAGTTGATTAGAGCCCATGATGATGCGAAGATAATTAATATCACCTAACTTCAAGAAACCAGCGTAAAGAAGTTTACATTCACAACTCATCTAACCATTATAGGTAATAATTTACAAAATTAGTCATTTTTGATTATAATATTAAGGTACTTAGGTACATTTTTATCTTCTAGATCAGTATGTCGTCATAATTTAAATGAACTCACAGATAGCAATGGGGCACTGCACCGAAGCAGTATTACAAAATATGTGAAATAAAACTGTAATACAAATTGCTCTATAAAATTTAATAGAAATAAATTTATTTATGAAAATTAAGTTATGAAGTTTTATTTTTCCTAGGAAAAAAATAACATTTATATTTTGATCAATTTAGAACATTACAGTTAAAAAAATATGTGTTAGAATAACATATTTTTAATAAAATTGCAGCTTTTAATTTTTATACTTTTTTGCTTTTATATCAATAAGAACTAACGTAAGGAACAATTCATATTTATACTATGAAAACACATGCATATTTTTTGATGTTTTTAAAACCAGTGAATGATGTTGAAATATACTACACCTATTATTCTTATTAACTAACTTTAATTACAAACTTACACATTATTGTCATTGGAAATAAATTAATTTGGATATTCTATTTGTTTAGAAACTTTTTTACCTATTGTAGTTTTTTTAAAACCTACTTGATTTAAAACAAAAAAATGTCACCTGTTGTGACAAAATAAGGTCTTTTTTACTAGAAAACAATCTAGTGAGCTTTTCTAATAATACTTTATTTGATATACCATATGATCGAAAACGGCGTCAGCGATGGCTAAGAAATGAAGATCGCTGTCATTTTAAATGTAAATTTATATGGGAAATGTCATCGATTGCCATTTCCCAGCCAACTGGACGCCGTTTTTTTTTGATCATACGGTATAATATGTATTCCCATCTGTTAATCTTTTTATTTTAAGGAAGATTTAGGAAGGGTAGCTTAAAACATGTTTGTCGATCAATTATCTTTATATGTCGTTTGTAAAAATATTTTACAGTAGTAGAAAATAAAACTGTTTTTAAGCCGAACAGCTTCTTTGCTAAAATATTTTTTTGGTCCCAATACATAATGATTTACATTTTATTTTTAACAATCAAATTCAAATAATGAATTTAATGGAAAAATTGCAAGTCATAAAAACGTTCTAAATATACAAATCTATCCATTTTTTCCATATCGTTGCTCCAGTTTTTTGTCAAATTAACGAATATTAGAAATAGTTTATTTCAACCTCTTCAGCTTATTTTAAAAATGTTGACAAATAACAAAGAATACACCCCTTAAAGTTTCGCATTTGTCTTGATATACTCTGTATAAGACAACAGTAAATAACTTGTAATATAACTTCGAAATATAAATTTGAAATTAAAATAATGATTTGTTCATAAGTGATTTACGTTTTATTAATTTGGATTTTCTTTTTCTTAAATTTAATTTAAAAGTGATTTACGTTATTTATTAATTGAAACGTTTAAAATTTGAATATACGTTCAAAATTTTTTTTTACAATAAATTTGTTTATGATAAATAATTTTATAATAAAAATATGACCGAATTTCCTGGAAAGTTTGCCAAATTTGTACATATGAAGACTCCTGATATAAATCAGGAGCTAACTAATAGAATCATATCAATTCTCTCTGATGTAGGATAAGTTTCTATTTTCGGAAAATTTCTTAGATTTTTTTTGTTTCAACTGACGAACTGACCCAAAATGATAACTATAGTTGCTAAAGTTGAACTAATTTGACAGCTATGTTGAAGTAACGTCAGACATATCACAGCCACCCTAGATTTTATCAAATAATAAAGATCTATTCACACTAAATCATAGAAATGAAAATATCTAGGAAAATCTTTGTTTGAGGGGTAGGCCGGCAACCTTAATAGTATTTGGAAGTGACATGAATTTCCCATTGAATATCGGAATAATATTCTGGGTGATTCAATTAAACTAAAGGAGTTATACAGGGTGGGTATTAAAGGAGTTATACAGGTTATACCAATGTTCAGCATTAATTTTGCCTCACCCTGTATAACTTTATGGGTCCGGTTTTAATTTGATTTAAAGTACAATAGGGTATATTTCAATTTAGGTAGTTTTTCTTGAAATTTAAAAATTGTTCTTCATTTTTAGAAAACCTTAAGTAAGTCTAAAACCTTACATTTCTGTCATATACTTCCCTAATAAAACTCACTTTTATTTTCTCTTAGAATCTAAAAATTAATTAATAAAGGGGGTATTCCATTCCAAAAAAAACACAAATTTGATGTGTAACTTTTTTTGGGGACACCCTGTAGAACTCTCTATATTTTTAAAACGTGCTCAGAATCAACTTACATATGCTCACAAAGTTTCATTTCAATACAAACTCGTCGTTCTCCTTGGAGCCTCCGAGTCGTATGAGAGGCGCCACCCTGTATAATTTTTATATTTTTTATATAGTTGCCCTTTAATAAATTGTTAGTTAAAATTAACAGTCCTACGAGTGTGGAATTTTGTACAGGTGGATTTTGGACATTCATCTCCTAAGAGAGTGAAATAAGGGATGAAATTTTGTACAAACATTTGTTAAAATCGGGTTTAGAAGTATGAAATTCTGTTTGTTCCTTATGTAACGTAATTTAGCAATAACAAGCAAATTTTTTTCAGAACGTCCACACCTCATTTCACCCCGTTAGAGGGCGAATTTCCAAAAATTGTTCCTTAGTGTTAAATTACGTTACATAAGGAACGTCTGCGCAAAATTTCATACTTCCAAAACCGATTTTAATGAATTTTTGTACAAATTTTCATCCCTTAATTCTTATGGGGCGATGCCTAAAATTCGCTCTGAGTACTCACTTTCATCACTTGAGGAACCTCTGTGCAAATTTTCATACTTCTAGGACAGATTTTTTTCAGAAAGTTCACCCCTCATTTCACCCCCTTAGAGGGAAAATTTCGAAAAATTGCTTCTTAGTGCTAAATTACCTTATATAAGGAACGTCTGCGAACAATTTTATACTTCTAAAACCGATTTTAACAAATTTTTGTACATATTTTCATCCCTTATTTCTTAAGGGATGAATGCCCAAAATTCGCTTCTGAGTATAACTTTCATCACTTGATGAACCTCTGTGCAAATTTTCATACTTCTAGGACAGATTTTTTTTCAGAACGTTCACCCTTCATTTCACCCCCTTAGAGGGAAAATTTCCTAAAATTGCCTCTTAGTGCTAAATTAAGTTACATAAGGAACGTCTACGCAGAATTTCATACTTCTAAAACCGATTTTGACAAATTTTTATACCAATTTTCATCCCTTATTTCTTAGGGGATGAATGTCCAAAATTCGTTTCTGAGTACTCACTTTCGTCACTTAATTAACAATTTCCAAATTTCAAACTCCTCGGACTAATTTTAAAAAAGTATACAAAATTTCACCCCCAGTTTCACCCCTTAGTAGAAGAATTTCCTAAAATCGCTTTGTATAATCGAACTGTTAAGTTACGCTACTTAAGGCACCTCTGTGCAAAATTTCGTAGTCCTAGGACATGCTTTTTTTTGTATACAAAAGTACCCCCCATATCACCCCCTTAACGAGCGAATTTCCAAAAATTGCCCCTTAGTGTTCAATTACGTCAGTCAAGGAGCACTCGTGAAAAATTTCATACTCTTAAACCAGATTTTAACAAATTTTTATGCAGCTTTTCATCCCTAATTTCACCCCCTTAGCGGTCGAATTTTCAAAAAATCCCTTCTTAGTGCTCATTTACATCACTTAAGGAACCTATGTGCCAAATTTTATTTATTACTATATAGATAACCTTTACCCTTATTTTCAGCTAATGAATATTAAGAGACAAATAATAAAAATAAATCTAAATTATAAATTTCATGGCTATAAATAGCATATATATGCATCTAGAAATTTGACTTTCAAACAGCGACTAGTATTTTCATATCCAATTGTCTAGTATTAAAGTCCGAATATACATTTTCCCTGGGTTTGACCGGGAATTTGCTTATAAATGTGAACAACCGGCTACGTCGCTTCAAATCGCGTGGCCGTGGTGTGGCTCCAAATTCGTTCGTTTTAAAAATATTATTAGATTTGGCTATAGGCGCCCTCTGTGTCATTAATAGGGAACTGTCTCATCGAAAACATGCTGTTCCGTAAGCAATGGCCATCTGGATTATGTGTTATCTGTGTCTTTATGTTCTTTAATTCTAACATTTAAGGGTCTAGATGTTTCACCAATGTAAAATTTATCGCATTGACAGGGTATTTGGTATATTACATTTTTTTGGTACATACATTTATACTATAATGTATACCAACTATAATATAATATTTAGACATCATCAGGGTATGGCCAAAAAGTTTGGAACAAATGGGTAATTTCTTAGTACCTAAATAAAATAAATCCTCTTTAAATATGTTTTTAAAAGTTATTTGCAGTTTATTTTTATGTGCATTAAGTTTCATAAATATACTAGTCCCTTAAAAAATATCAGTTTTTCGATTATTTGTAGAAGAAAAATGAAAAAATGTTTTTTTTGTTACAATGATATGTGACAAAACAGATTGTAATTTTACTGTCTTCTAATAAATTGTAGAAAACTAAAAATATCATTTTTTAGACTACCTTTTTTCCATATTTTGTGAACTTTATCCATTTTTTGTTATTGGACAGGCTGAGGAAATTCCGCATAATCTTTTTTCAAAACTCCATATTAAAGAAATTCTTATTTGTTACGAACTTTTTGGTACGCCCTGTACAATATGCATTTTTTAGCTATGTTAAAAATGATGAAGAGGAACGAGCAAGACAGAAAAGATGTCATCGTTCAAGCCTTCAAGACAATTTATTTGGAAACTGACGGCAATGATATGAGGTAAGACTTAATATGTTTTATCCAACACCCTGTATCTATGAATACACTGTTTTAGGGAACATTGCAGTACTGTGGTACAAAGATTGATTAGATTCTTAAAAGATACACCGAGCAAGAATTTTGACGATTTAGAACTTATTATTAAAGAATGGGTTAAGAAAGGTGAAAAAATAACTATTATCAGTGATTTTTCAATTAAATAAAACAATTTTTTAACAGGTATTTTAGATAATAGCATAATAGACATGTTGTGGCAGTATTTTACTCAGAAATGTTCTATATCGGATGAAGAGTCGCACGCTAGCGTTGAAATACTGAGAATGGCGAGTTTAGGCAGAGCAACGATCATTACCAAAAATATAAAGCTTGTAGCCAATATAGGTAAGTTAATAATTTGATAAATACCTTTATTTACTCCAAAGACATATATTCAATATAGGTACATTCATTAAAAACTAAAATTCACTATAGGATCAACAAAAAATAAAGTGCGTAAAATATAGAGTCTTAAATAAGTGCAAATATTTCGAAATTATTTCAGAAATTTTTTGAAAAAGTTTTTTAGAAGTTTTATTAGTTTTTAGTTAAAAATCATAATTTCTTTATCATATGACAACATAATAGATAGTAGATTAAATTTACAACGGTGGCTCTCAAAATTTAAACAAAAAATCCTTTTTTTTGTGCCATCTGTAAAGTACCATCTGAACAACGCTAAAATTTCGGATATCCAGTTAATATCAAAACATTTACTTTTTTATTTTTATTATTTTTAGAATTTTTACAAATTATACTTCCTAACACTTTTATAATAATTAGATCATAATTTTTTCGTATACTCGCTATTTAAACCTATGTATTTGTATATATCGATTGTTTACGATATTCTCCGATGGTGGCAGCACCAGCGGAGAATGCACCAAGCGTATAAGAAACAAGCCGTTTTACGGGTAATTTTAAAAACTTTTTAGTGCCACTTGTTTATTCACCTGAGATTTCTCTATAGTGTATCTAAACCTTGCGTTGTTGCCACCTTTTACGTTATCAACATTCTACATATTTCTATATTACAAAAAATTAGAAATGTTAATTTTAATCATTTATATCAGTATCCATTACTAATAATTCTAGAAACAAAACACATTAATTTTACATATCCTTTCGATGAAAACTTAACATTAACCACCGAATATTAACTTATTTATGTATTACTTTTATGAAGTTTACGAAAATCTTTGTTATACTGCAAAATAACTTTATTTTGAACTAAATTTAATAAAAACATTCACAATGAGAGATCACAAAAAAAATTCAAAATGTTTATTGTAATTCAGAATTCAGTTTATCGTAAACAGCCCGACGAGTAACCGATTCATACAAACGACAAACGTCCTATTCAACTCATCTATTCATTCACTAATTTCTCACTTCGCAAACTCGAGCGGCAGGCGCGAGTATCCTTTTCGGCGATGACGCGCAGTGTTGCCGGATTACCTAAATGTATACTTTTACTTTACAACTATCAGATATTTTTATGTCTATTAAACATTTTCCGTCTTCTAAAACAAAAGCGGAAGTCGTTAAAATTTTGTTGATATTCGACAACACAAAGATCTTTTATTCTATAGATAAAAGTAAAAGTAACTATTTTTTAAACGCTTAATTATCCACAGGTTTCGGCGAAAGAGGTTCAAAAAATATGGCGTTTTTGGGTAGCTGTTGCGAACTACTTGCTGTGGCGGGCAGAAATCGTATCGATATCAACTCTAAAGACCCACCGCTGAAAATCAACATTAAAGACGAGATTTTCAAGAACCTGCTCGATATCCTCGTACAGAACTTTTTTCAACCTGTAGAATTCTATTATAAAGCTCTATCCGGAGCTATTTCTTTTGTGTACAGGGTAAGCATTATAATTGTAAGCTAATTTTTTTAAATACTTGGATATAAAGTATTCAAAGCTTTTTGGATTTGTACATTTCTGTGTTTTTTTCATTACATTCATTTTTTTATTAATAGTTTTATATTTTCTGGGAAGTGCATAAATCTTGGAAAACATTGTGTCAGAACTTAAATTACAATGAAATTATTGTGAATCTTATAAAGTGGCTTCAAAAATTATTATTTGTACAGCATGGGGCGTGAGATTTTCAACTTAAAAATACGAATAATAGAGCAATTTTTAACTAGTAATTATAACGTATAATCTAAAAAACCGAGTCCAGTTGGCTTGGACATGACGATCGATTACATTCCCCATAAAATTTTACATATAAAATATCAACGATGTTCATTTTCAAGCCATCTCTGACGCCGTATTTTTTTTTTCGGTCGTGTGTTTCATGTATGGTCACTCAGGGGAAACATGAAGGCACCCTATGTGATATTATCCAAAGGGGACTCCGTATCACTGTCAGGTTGAATAATGTCTGTTTCATTCTTTGAATAAAAATATTAAGGAATATATTCCGGTTTGTGTTCCAGTGCCGTTTTAATTTTATTCAAAACATGTAAAAATATGGTGTACGGTAGACTCAATAATTTGTTATTTTATTTTACGTTGTGAATAAATGTTGGTGGTTATTAAAATTGTTATAAAAATATATAATTCTAATAAAAAATAGATGTTATAATAATTATTTATTAACATAAACATCCGATACGCTACTGAAGCAGGTAAGTCAAATTGACGTATCTAAATTCTTTTACATCTAATCTTTGACAAGTAGTAAATAAAAGCAAAAATGCAAGAAAAAATATATGATTAGTTAATTTTAGTGAATTTCATAAATGATTGGTGGTTTGTGTTCCAGTGCCGTTCTAATTTTATTCAAAACATGTAAAAATATGATGTAAGGTAGACTCAATAATTTGTTGTTTTATTTTACGTTGTCAATAAATGTTGGTAGTTATTAAAATTGTTATAAAAATATATAATTCCAATAAAAATAGATTAGATAAGTTATAATAATTATTTATTAACATAAACATCCGATACGCCACTGAAGCAGGTAAGTCAAATTGACGTATCTAAATTCTTTTACATCTAATCTTTGACAAGTAGTAAATAAAAGCAAAAATGCAAGAAAAAATATATGATTAGTTAATTTTAGTGAATTTCATAAATGATTGGTGGTTTGTGTTCCAGTGCCGTTCTAATTTTATTCAAAACATGTAAAAATATGATGTAAGGTAGACTCAATAATTTGTTGTTTTATTTTACGTTGTCAATAAATGTTGGTAGTTATTAAAATTGTTATAAAAATATATAATTCCAATAAAAATAGATTAGATAAGTTATAATAATTATTTATTAACATAAACATCCGATACGCCACTGAAGCAGGTAAGTCAAATTGACGTATCTAAATTCTTTTACATCTAATCTTTGACAAGTAGTAAATAAAAGCAAAAATGCAAGAAAAAATATATAATTAGTTAATTTTAGTGAATTTCATAAATTATCGGTTTCCTACACGTATGTATATTATACAGGTTGTTAATTTGTTTATTACTCGCGGCAAGAGCTTTATGGTTGAAATATGGCAAACGCGACGCGATAAGGCAAACGCGCGACGCGACGGGACGAGTCGGCAGAAAACTCTATAAGTGCATGCGTTCTCAATAGGCGGTGTTGCCATTCTGTTCCCCTATAAGTAACTGTCCAGTTAACAATCTGTATAGTCACTTACTAGCGAAAATGTATTCCATTATTTCTCTCGATTTTTGAACGAGATCTACCGCACGCTACACAACCAACTATTTTTCAGTCTTTTTCGATAAATCGCAATAGTGTCATTGTTAATTTAAGTTCTGCCACAATTTCCATCTATATTTACTATCTTTATACAACTATCAGTAGTAGAATAAATAATAAATAACATAAGATAAGCTCAGTAAAGACTGAGAAATCCACAAAATTTTAAATCAAATTCAAATGTGTCAAATGAATCGTCAAGGATCCCCACCCTAGAGTCCTTTTTCCGCCCACCATGCATGAATACATGGATAGAATTATACCCCTTCCAAAAGATTTATTATTATGTTATTATACCTCTTCCAAAACTTTTATTATACTCTTTCCTTAATCTTTTTATTCAAAGGTTTCATTCAATCAGACACGATAGGTTTACAGTAACTTTTTTTTAGGTGTGTGGTAAACCTGATAAATTTTGTGATGATCTCATAGGCGCAGTGTTGGTGGGATTGAAAAAGTTGAAGGAAAAAAGTACACCTTTTCAAGTTCCCAGATACGTATATATAAGATTGTGCCAATTGTTGGGTCTGGTAGCTGTAAAACAGTTGGACTATCTCGACGACACTGTATACAGGGAGTTGAAACGGCGAAAACAAGTCAAGGATGACAAAAACGAGACGTCGAAGAAAAATAAGTCTGTCAATGCTTCAGCGTCTACAGCTTGCAACAATACTACAGCGGTATGAAAATGAAATATATAGTCAGGTTCATGAAAGAGGACTGAAACAAAGTTAAATTACTTTAGACTTAGATAATTTTCTATCTTAGGCTTAAGTTATCATACTTCATATGTAACGCTTCTTTTTTAATTTGTTAGATTATTCAATATGGCGCAATCGTCTTCTTTCTTGAATCACACTATACTATAGTCTGTTCCACGAGTTAGAAAATATTTCGACAGACAAGAGCCAAGAAATGACAGATAACGCAATATACCCATTAATTAAACACTGTCATGTATTCTCTCGTTGGATGGACTATCGATGCAAAAGTGTGAAAAAATGAGGTGATTTATTTTATAAATGTTTTTTGATATCCCTAGTAGTGATGTAAAAATTCTAAGTAATTGTTACAAAGTAACAGTTACTTTACGAGGACTCGAAGTAACGCTTACTATTTGAATTTAGGACTCGTTACTCGTTACTAAGCTAATTCGTTACTTCTGCGCCGGCAGTAATCGTAATCCCTGGAAATGCACGAACCGAGAACTCGAAACTCGGTAATAAAATATTCCTTACTTCGACGTAGGTCTAGTTGTTATCAATATGTTTATGTTTAAAGTGTTGACTTGACGCCGGCCGGTGTTTTGGATGGCAAATGTGTGATATTTTTTTACAATTATTATGATTGGCTCATGCCGGCCCGGAGGCGGTCTGTCCCTTTGCCGTTTGTTGTCGCTTTTTATTTATAGGATAGAATTGTTTATTTAGATTAACATGTCTTAAATATTAATTAAAAATGGATTCACGTTAGTCACAAAAAATGTTAACATCTGAAAAAGCAGAGCAAATATGTTTCTTCTTCAAAAGAGAATAGATATTTCGCCACTTACACTGTAATAAAATCTACAAAATAAAAATAGTAATTTTTAGTAAACACTGCTGCGTTAATCCAAAGAATCCTGTACACAAAACAACGATTATAAAGTAACGATACTAAGTACCAAAGTAACGAGTAACCAAAGTAACGAGTCCTATTACCAAAAGTAACTAGTAGTTACGAGTCCATAAAAGTAACTAAAGTTTACATCACTAATCCCTAGCATTTCCTTTTAATGCTATTTAGTTATACAGGGTCTGCCAACATTTTGGGAAAAAATCGGATTGTTTTAATATTGAAAAAAAACTATGCGGAGTTTCTTGAGTATACCCAATAAAAAATACTTTTTTTCAAACGTCACAAAAGTATTAATTTTTGCGACTTTATTGACAACATAAAAAAATCATTTTAATACCTAGGCATAAAGCTTCAATCACAACCTCGCAATTAGTGGAATAAATTAGTGGTTTCAATTCGCGTACAAGTTTGTTCCTTTAATTTCAATGTAAGCATTCAGAACGTCAAAATTAGTGGTAGACATTTTCAATTACTAGAAAAAGCTATAAAACTTTTGACTTTTCCACTAATTATACTTCAAAATTTGCGACAAATGACATTTTGGCCTTTGATTATCTTCTGTCAAAAGAAATTGTGGTTAGAAATCAAAACTTGATTGTTTTATAAGCTAAATATTAGGCTTCTCTGCGGATACAACTGACTAACGCAAGCTGTTGCTAGGATATTCTACTAATTTAAATTGTGTTTCTTACATTGTGAATGATCGTAAACTAAAAAGCATAAAGTGTAATTGAAACCACTAATTTATTCCACTAATTGGGAGTTTCTGAATGAAGCTTAAAAGTAAAGCAATTTTACGCCTAAGCACAAAAGTACGAAAATATATCATGGTACAAAGAAAACAAGGTATGATATTGCGCAGGTTGGTCGCTACTTCACAGGTGATAACAGGCTTCTATAAAATTGGCCAGCACGCTCCGCGCGCCAATTCAAATCGTCAAGATATTGTAATGAACCTGTTTCTTTGTTTATATACCGTCATTGAACTATCGCTAAGCAAGTTACTGTAGAACAGTGCGTGAAGAGTCAGGCTAAGAAGCGAGAAACCGGAGTTCGAATCTCGGCCGGGCATAACTTTTTTTATTTAATTTTTTTAAATACTGTTGTATTCTCTAGTTTATTTTTGTAGTATAAAAAAAGAACTATTTATTCTGTTATTTTTTAATCTCCGGTATTAATATAAATTGATTGTTGGTACAATACCTTATTTATTGGGCCCTAATTGTACCTAAAAGTAATATATTTTTACAGTGATATACCATATTGTAAAATATTTAATATTTCAATCACTTAAAAAGTTAATTTGTATTGAATAATTGCCTACCATTAAAGGAAATTTGAGCTATAATCTTTGATGGGCATATTCTGGGTATGCAAGTACTTCCTCTAAATTTTGGGTTTCGTCAACCGATTTATTCTCAAAATCTGAAACATCTTCATATAAAAAGAAGCACAGATCACTAATTATTATAATAAACTTCACCCTTGGAGAATTGCTTCTACTAATTATAATAAATTTCACCCTTGGGATTACTTCTATTACAATTACAATACATTCATCTGCATTGGTATTTTCTACTTTTCGATGGGAAACACTCAACTTCCCAACATTTTTTAAATGATGTAACAGTTCCTCTTATGGTTACTTTTCCATAGATATCCTCATCTCTGTCCCCATAAACATCGCAAACTAAAAACCTAATAAACAATTTTATACCGAATATACAAATAAATTTAGTATTCTTACCTATTATCGTCCAAATCCATGTTAATAGATAATTAATATTTTGGATTTTTGTCTTTTATTTTTAAATATATTTTTGGAACTGCTGGCACAAATTACCTATAACAGATGCGAAAGAACACCGAATTACGCGTTCAGGTTTCTGTGACCTTCAGAAAGAGTTCATAGACAATCCGCATCAATGTATAGTTTGGGTTATTATTTGTTTGGGTGAAAATAATCTGCACCAATATGTTATCGAGGCATTAATCTCACAGTAATTTAATAGATTGCTCGTCATATTATATCAGTTCGTAGGAGATTAGGAAAAAAAAGATATTTATATAAAAAATTAATTTATTTAACAAAATTTAATTAAAGATGTGACAAAATAGTTACTTTTCTATTGGTTCTATCGGACTTTTTTCGACTATATAAATCTTTATTTTTTGTAAACTTTAATGCATAAAATATTTTCAATCTAATAAATAATTTAATGATGTAAATAAGAGGAAATTTCTCACATGGGTGGTCAAATTCTATAGTTTTCATTACATCAAACAGCCTCTGAATGTTTTCGTCAATGCAAAACTCATCAAAATTTAATATAAATAATTTTTCCATTTCCAGTAAATAAAATGAACAAATTTTTCCACTTTCATGATCAAAGGCTATTAAATGGGTAAATAATTTCGAGTTATCCAGAGATTCGGATTCTTTTGCAAATTTTAGACAAATATCACATTGATGTATTTGAAGACTCTTTTAATTGATGTAGTCAAACATAATTAAAGGCATTTTGAGTTGAAAACATTTCTCAGAGGCTGTTTGATATAATGAAAACTATAGAATTTGACCACTCATGTGAGAAATTTCCTCTTATTTACATCATTAAATGATTTATTAGATTGAAAATATTTGATGTATTAAAGTTTACAAATAAATATTTATATAGTCGAAAAAAGTCCGATAGAACCAATAGAAAGGTACTATTTTGTCACATTTTTAATTAAATTTTGTTAAATAAATTAATTTTTTATACTATAAATATCTTTTTTTCCTTATAAATAAACACATTTGTATCCCATTTTAAATAAGATATACAAATTACCAAAACTTAGAAATAACAGTTCAAAAGTTCAACAAAAATCCTACACCCGTTTTTAAAAAGAAACATATAACCACGCACTATGTCATTCCAGCAAGCGAATACGACACAGCATAGGTTTCCGGACTAAACGACTGGTGTATTTACACCACTCAATAGGCGTGTGGGGTTTGCCGAGCGGTTTCCGATGCAGTCGCTTTCTTTCGCATCTGTTATAGGTAATTTGTGCTGCTGGCTTTAGTAATTATTAAATTAAACGAACTAAAAAGTCAGAAAAAATCTTTGAAAAAAAATAAACAATTCTTTACCATAACCCTAAAAAATACAAAAAACGCAGATCTCCTGTCAACTTTCTTTAGCTTTTATTTTTTATTTATTCATTATTTTCCTAGTGACGTCACAGGTGGTATGCGCGAACTGAACGAAATTGGAGCCGCTATCGATCATACCTTGTATTCTTTGTACCATGAAAATATATTATTAAACTGACATAAACTGTCAGATTCAACGAGCGTAACCATAATTTCTCGATATACCGTACGATCGAAAAAAAAACGGCGTCCAGTTGGCTGGGAAATGACGATTGATGACATTTCCCATATAAAATGACAGCGATCTTCATTTTATAGCCATCGCTGACGCCATTTTTTTTCGATCATACGGTTTAATTACATACAAGGTCTTACTTTTAAATCTTTTTATATTATTTGGAACGTTTGAAATTGTTTAAAAATGTATTTGTGGCCTTCGAAAAAAATAGCATGTTCTGTTAAAGAGTGTTCTCAGTAAAAATGACTTTTTGTGGCTCGCCTGTATGTCGAGCGTACAGCCTCGCCCGTTAAACGTACAGACTCGCCTGTCAAGCGTACAGCATTTCATATACATTCATTTTTACTCCTAATAAAACAATATACTATTCCTCCAAAAAAATCCTGTATGGGTATTTCGCCATTGCAAGAAAATCTACAAAATAAAATAGTTATTTTTTGTAAACACTGCTGCGTTAATCCAACGGAAACTACTTATCAGAAGTTAAGTTTACAGATAAACAAATTTGCCTAAGGAACAAAAAATTTTTTGTTCGTTTTGGAAAGTTTATCTCTTTCCGTCGTCGCGCGTCGATTTTTTTTTTTCGTTTTATATACTATTATAAATACTTTGTAACTGAGAAGTTTGTAGTTTCAATAACTGCACTAGTAAAAACCAAAATACTTAAATTTTATGACATAGTCACGATTTCAATATTATTTCAATGTGATAAACATGAACCGGAACTGCGTGAAAGAAAGCAGCCGGGCAGTTTTGATTTCTGCCTTACCGAGCGTTATTGTCGGAATTTTTAAAAATCGGTTGAAATGCACCAATCCTATACATACTGGGTGTTCGAAGAGATTAATTTTAAAATAAAAAATAAATTATAACTTACAAACAGTCAATTTAGGAATGTTTTTGTCACAGTTCACAATACACATTTATTTCTACATGAAAAAATTAACAAGAGAAAAAAATACTATTAGTAATTTTATTAGCAGTTGCACGCCGAATTCGTAAAAAATACGTCGTAGAAGCCTCTCAACTTTTTAAAAGGTGAAAATGTGATTTATGTGACGATTTTAGGTTGAAGATAGTGAATTAGAGGGCGCCCAAGTCGAAGATAGCGAGGCGGAGTTTATACTTTCGGTTTTGGAAAAAGAAACCGTATGTGGTACTGGAGTATTAGGTAAATTAGGGCATTTTATAAGAGGTGTTTGTCAAAGGCCTGATGTTTACCAAGACGCTATGCTTCAAGGAGCAGCTGTCATAGCCTTGATAAGGTAATTTCGCTTCGAATGTTAAATTGATTAAAAAAATAATAATGTTTATTCAGCAACTGTTTCAAATATATACGTACCGGCTGTTTCTCAAAAGTGGTTCACCCCCTATAACTTTTTTATATTTTCAGATAAAAGAACCAGATTTGTGGGTATATGACATAAATTACGATTGACTGATGTATTCAATTCTTTTCGGTCACTTCCCGTTTCACCGGAAATGACGCTTTAAGCGCACCCTTGTATTTTTACTTTATTCAATAGAAAACGACACTCTGAATAGAATGACATATGTCAACTTTTGACATTTTCGCTTAAATAAAATTGTATTTTAAATTTCAATCCAGAGTGCAATGGCTGTGTTCACAACGACAGTTTGACTCAAAATATCAAGTATGTCATACCAAATTATTCGTAAAAAATGCTTTTTCAAATATGCTAATTAATTAAGATATGACTAAAAATTCGATTTGGGCATCTTTTACCCGGCCAGAACAAGACGCGAAAAACATTAGACGATCAAATCTATTTTTCCAAGGGTCCTTGATTAAAAATTAATGTTTTTAACACCGCCATGGCATTCTAGATTGAAATTTAAAATACAATTTTTTTAAGCGAGAATGTCAAAAGTTGGCATGTGATATGCCATTCTATTATATTCTATCTTCATTTTCTATTATATAAAGTAAAAAATACGGAGGGTACCAATTAAAAATTAAAAGTTGTAGTCATTTGAATTTGAAAATCAAAAGTTGTAGTTGGTGAAACAGGAAGTGACCGAAAGCAATAAAATTGGATACGTCAATCAATCCCGATTTATGTCATATACAAGGCATACTAAATCTGGTTTTTTATCTGAAAAAGTTAAAATGTTATAGGGGTGAGCCACTTTTGAAAAACACCTGTATACTATACTATAATTGTCGTAGGTATATGCTGGTTTCAAGCCAGTTCTGTCAGAACAACGTCCAGCTCTTATTCACCATACTAGAAAGAACAACCTACATAGATGTGAAGGAATCTATCTTGATTCACCTGTCAGATTTGTTGACCAGATTTCCCAATATTATCGAGCCATGGACTCCCCACATTTATAGAAGGTAAACAAAACGTACTTATGTTACTTTCTCTCCTGATAAAGTCTCTCATTAAAGTAGGTGAACCGTGAAGTTAGTAAATGTCACGTAAGTTTATCTCGATTTGACGTTTAATATCAATTTATTCTTGTATCTATTGGGATTTTCGGAACCGGAATTGTTTTTCGAAACCGGGAATTTCGGTACCATATGCCTTTAAGGAACCGGGTTTTATGGTACTTTCGGTACTAGCTAATTTTTGTTCAAATGATGGTGCAGTTCGTCAATCAGCAAGCATTATTTTACATATTTTACACAACACATTACAAACCCTTTTTTTTCTATTATATTTTTTTTAAACACATTTAAGCAGCTATTTATAGATAATTAAAATAAAATTAAAAATCTCTTCACAAAAGTCGGGTACCTATTTCGCTACTGTAAGAAAAAATAAAATAATTATTTTTTGTAAACACTTGTGCGTTAGTCCAACAAGAACTAATAATTGTCAGCAGTGGCTTATTAATAAACAAATTTGCGTTTCGGACGTATGTCTCTTCCCGTCGTCGGAAGCAAAAAATCACAAAGAACAAAGAAAAAACTATTTAAAATATCTAAATGCAACTATTCGAGAACACTTTAGTTTTTTTCGTTGACGTTCTGTTAAAATGATATTATATCAAGTTAATGTTTCTCTTCTTATTTAGATTGAAAGACCCATCCATAAATATTCGCAAAGCTACATTTTTCACCCTATCTGGCCTGATTCTTCGCGATATGATCCGGGCAAATTCCTACATATCTCAGATGGTAGGCTGTCTTGTGGATGAGGACACCGAATTGAGTTCGATGTGTCGAACGTTCTTCGTTACTCTGGCACAAAAGGAGAACAACCTGTATACTATGCTACCTGATATATTTTCGCATTTAGTCAACTTGAAGGAGATCAAAGATGAAGATGTTAAAGAGATCATGAAGTAAGTATTCTAAGATAACTGTCATTTTCTTTTTAATATTGTAAAATAAGATATGATTGAAAAAAAGCGGCCTCAGGGATGGCTTTGAAACGAAGATCGCTCTCATTTTATATGTAAAGTTATGAGGAATGTAGTAGGTCGTCGTTTCCAAGCCAACTGGACGCCGTTTTTTATTATACGGTATTAAATGTATTGATCCCAATTTCCTACTAGGTCGTGAAATTCAAGTGTTTTGCAAGGTTTCTCGTTTATGAGTTCACATCACTGTGCTACTTTTTATTAAACTAAAGATGCTAAACACAGCTTTTTCCTGGCCCTCTTAGTTTCTGGATTACAGGGTGAAATTGAAAATGTTTTTCGACCCCCTTTGTGTCTCGGTTATCTTACCATTACAGTTGAGGGTTAGAAACTTTGGTGTTACACAGAAAAATAAAACACTAAATCACCACAATACACCAAAACACTTTTACTTTTACACTGAACGCGCGTTTCAGTCTTTTATCATCTGCTGATGATGCTAACATGGTTAGCGAAACGCGCGTCCAGTGTAAAAGTAAAAGTGTTTTGGTGTATTGTGGTGATTTGGTGTTTTATTTTTCTTTTTTTTATCTTATCACTTATCGAAAAGGTGAAAACTGAATGCTATAGAGTTTTCACGTAGTGTGTTTTTCGCAGTGGCGTACCTAGATTTTTACTGCGCGCTGTTATTCTTGAAATATGACAAACTTATATTCTTTGAAATGGAATTTCCTGAATTACTATATTTTTATTTTATTTGTTTTGTTAGGCGACCAGTTTAAAAAAGGCAAACAAAACAATCGAATAATTTATTCGACCTTAAATTTTAGATATTGGCTATTCCACGCTAGTTTCTTTGTGTAGAATTATTGCACAAGTTCATTAAAATCAGAGATGAGCAGAAAATCGCAAACTGCGATTTAATCGCAGCGATTGTAAATTCGCAATCGCAACCTGCGATTCCTTTCCATAGCAAACTGCGACTTGCGATTGAAACACCTATCTGCTGATTTTGGATTTTTAGGCAGCCAATATTACACCAGTCGAGCGAAGGCACACGAACGAAGAACTGCGAACGAAAATCGAAATGCTGTGATTTTCGTTCGCACCGGCGCGGCGGCAGCGGTGCATCGACACGGCACTGAGCAGGAGAACGAAGAGCTGGGAACGAAAATCGCAACTGCGATTCTCGTTCGCACCGGCCGGCGTGGCGGCGGCGCGTCATCAACACGGCAGTGGGCAGGCGAACGAGGAGCTGTACGAAAATCGCAGCTCATCTCAGCATTGCGATTGCGATTTTCGTTGGCACCAGCGCGGCATGGCATCGGGACTGGGCACGCCAACGTAGAGCGGCGAATTTCGTTCGCAGCTCCCAACACATCGGCCTAGACTAGATCGCAAAATCACATTCGCAATCAGGGCCTCGTAATTTGTATGAAGCGTTGGAAAATAGGTTTATGTTTATATACTGATATATAATTTATTAGTTTTAAATTTTGATAATAGTTTTAGATTTATAATATATTTTATGGATGGGAAAGGTTAAAAAATTCTTGTTTTCGGTTATGACTAATTATAGTTACAGTTGCTCCCAGGTATAATTGAGATTGTTTACAAATGATCATAAGGACAGTTTTGGATTCAAATTATAAAAAAAATATTTTTATCCTTTATTTACTAGAAGACATAGAGTACGGAAAAGAAACTCTATTAATATGGATACTTTTTTCAGCCCTTTTTGTTTATTATATTTTGTTATATATTATATTATTAACATTTTTATAACAATGCATAATATAATATAATTTTCTGAATATTAACTAACAGTTGTGGATCAGCTGCTATGTTAACTTAAATACATCCTTTACAATCGGTTTTTTCATTTTAGAGAAATTTCAAATATAATAAAATGTGATATTGCCCTTTTATTTACCTAAAAGTTCGAAAGTTTGCACTTGTACTGGACTGGCCGTATCAAAGCCGTCGGCGTCGGCTTCTTTTGAGTTACATATAAAGAAAATGTTTTTAAAAGAACAAAAGATAAACAGGTTTTTTTTCTAGTTATCTGAATTAAGGTTGGCGGCAACTTTTTTTATAATAAATTTTTCATTAGTATACCCACAGACTGTCTAAAAGCACATTGGAATATTTTTAACATTTTTTGTATTTTTAATTTCCCTTTTAAATTTATTCGGTCTAAAAAAATTCGGTCTAAATCTGTTCTAATCAAAAATGTGTAAAAAAGGAAACTAAGTTATTTGTGGAATTTTTTTATGGTAATTGATGAAAATTTTAAGTGCAATATGTGTGCAGCAGAAATATAAAAAACAAGCACTATAAATTTTAAAAGGCACATGGCATCGAAACACCCAACAGTTCCTTTGTAAGTTTTTATAAAAAAAATGATTCCGCTATTTATTGTGTTTTTTATTGAAAATTTTGGGATTGAGCTTCCCAGTTTACAGCATACCAATTTAAAAATATCAAAATCGCAATCGCAGGTTACAGTCGTAGCGATTTATAAATCACAATCGCAGTTTTGCTCATCTCTATTAAAAATATCAATAACTTTCATTGATAGGGTGTTATCTAAAAGATGCACAAGTACAGGGTGTTCCTTGAACCTATTCTAAGAGAATTTAAAAAAAAATTCATATGAATGTATTATTAGAAAATTGGTACACCACTGACTTCTCTTAAAATAAAAATTATTTTCAAAATCTCCCTTCATTTCTAAATCATTTTTATCTCTTGATTTTTTTCGTCTGACGCATATCTTTTGCTTGAAAAAGGAAACAGGAAATTAAGAAATAAAACATTTTTTTTGTATATCAAAATATGCATTTTGATACATGGAAGACGTGTATCAAATATCACATCAGAGATATTTTGAAAAAAAAAATAAAAATAATTACGACCCTGTTCTGAAAAGTTAAGATTAAAACTTTTTCTTAGAATAGGTTCAAGAATCAATCCCTTAAATATACTTACAGTGCATTTTATTATTATTATTATTCCATAGTTTTTTTTTATAGATTTTCATTTAAACATATTATTATATACTTAAAATTATGATGGCAAAATTTCGTGACAAAATTTTTTTGTTTCTATTAAAATATTTGTTTTAGATTTCTCTTCAATCAAATCAGTAAAACTAAACAAATGGAGAATTTGGTGGACCGATTTTGCGCTAAATTTGCCATCACTGAAGAAGCGCAAACCCATAGAAATATCGCATTTTGCCTGACCCTGATCGTTTATAACGATAAGGCGCTGAGGAAACTCATAGACAATTTCAGTTCCTACAAGCATTTGGTGCACGACTCTGAGATCTACGCCAGTTTCAAGGCCATCATGCAATCCTGCAACAAACAACAAGTTGGCAAGACTGATTTAAAGGTAAAAAATCTACTTCCGATTTTAGCTTAGATTATTAAACCAAGATTATTAAAAGAAAAGGTTGTTTCGTAACTAGATCCGCCATTATCGAAAACGTCATCTACTACGTCACAGGAATTATACCGCTCATAGATAAAGGGATAAAAACTGCCCACAGTCCGAATCCCTAGCATTGTGTACTTTACTGTTTATAGTGTATGGCGTCAATAGTTTTCAGTTGTTTGATGTGTGTTTTCTTTATTGTATTGTCCATTTATCTCTCTTTGTCGGTTGCATTTTATTTTCTATTCCTTTTATTCTATGATTTTATACGTTCTATCTACGTCAGAGGGATGCTATTCCGCTTCGCTCCTATTGGTCCAGAAGTTACGAGACAACTTTATCTTTTAATAACCTTGCCCACAGACTTCGTAGATATGCTATAACCATATATGTATATATTAACTAAAGAATATCGACTCCAAACTGCATTCTGTGAAGCCAAGCCGGTGAAATGGGTATATAAATCTTCCGAAGGAATTTGCATAATTCGCTCAGTTAGGCCTGCTCAAGCGTAGTGCGCAAGCCTGGATTTTGAATTATCGATCGTATAACTAGACCAATAAGAGACTAGACGCTAGAACCAACTGTTCATTCGTACGGTTTCGTCCAACTCCGTATGGCTGTCGTTTGCGCTCCCGTTCGACAATTGGCTAATCCTCAGAGTAAGGGCCAATCGATATTCGGAATTTTGTAGTTGCGCTATTGCGCCAGTGTCTGCCTAACAGACGAACTTATGTGAAATATACATGGATCGGTTATCTAGTTGTCTCTAACTCGACTTCAACTGCAACACATTGCAGGGATAGGCGATAATCTGTATAGAGTTTATAAGTATATGTATGTACGGCATTTCCTTAAGTTCTCAAGGTTAATTTCTTAGGGTTAATGTTAGGGGTAAGGTTAGGACTAATACTTGTGGCCGTTGCGGGTAGCAAATTAGGCACACTAAATAATTAAGTCATTTAATTAACTCGATCAATTGTTACAAACTAAATAACTATTACAAAACATAAGAATTCGGTTTCTTGGCGCGAAACGTGAATGTTGAAGGTCGAATGTCTATCCACAGAATAATCCTTCCTCTTCCTCGATTGACAGATATCAGCTGGACGGCCATTCAGGGTTGTTATTCTCCTCCCGTGGAACCAACCAATCTGTGGCGGGCACTTGCTACCTTCGGAAGTCTGCCACATACTCAAAGTATGAACCCACCATTAAGTCAGCTTTCGAAAAATCACTTGAAATCAAATAAGTTTTGTCATTAAAAAAAAAAAATCAAAACAAGTTTTCTGTGAGCTTGCAGCTCTAACTAAGAATGACCTTCTCTAAGTTTACTTATTTCTCTGGCTCGAATTATTAAATGTCTTTTTTAGCCATTGGTGACTGAACTTGAACAGAACATAAGTTCCGTGTTCGAGCTGGATGCGGACGGGAACGGAATGAAACCTCCCCAGCCTCCTAAAAGCACCAAAAAAACTAAAAGGGGGCGACGGAAAAGGAAACAGTCTTACGATGATGCCGACGAGGAAGGCGATTTTGCAGAACAAGACGATATTATCTCTACGCCAGTCAGAAGGACTCCTAGATCTAAGAAATGAAAAAAAAAAGCCTACCCAAATTAATATGTATAGAAATATATTCCTTTTATTTTTGTTGGTTTAATGTTACAAAACATTTGGTCCCTTAAATTATCTCTTGTAATAGTTTTTGTGTCAGAGAATATTTGTTTTTGTTCAATGACAGAGAAAAACGTTCTACCCTTGAATTAAATTGGCGGACTATCACTGCCATGTATTCTTTCGCTCTTCATATTTATTGTATTAATTTAGATTTGCGGGGCCATATGAATTCTTTCGTAATACATTTATTTCTGTATTATTTTAAAATAAAAGATACATTTTTTCTTTACCTTTTTTGTTTTAACCAGTGACATTTAACAATATGCATACAGTGCGTTTTTTATGGAAATTATCGAAAAACTATAAGTCTATTACGCTGTACTTTCGGGTCGCTCTCAAGGAGTCGGGTAAAGCCTCGTTCTCAGAACGACGTCGTGTCGCGGGCGACACAGTTTGACATTTCAAACAACCAATGGGAGCTATACTAAATTTAAAATTGACAGCTGTTTAAATTTTGTACAAATCTCATTGGTTCTTTTGACGTGTCGCTGGCGACAGTCGCTGTTCTGAGAACGGGGCTTAAAGCCCCGTTCTCAGAACAACGTCGTTTCGCGGGCGACACAGTTTGACATTTCAAACAACCAATGGGAGCTGTACTAAATTTAAAATTGACAGCTGTTTGAATTTTGTACAAATCTGATTGGTTCTTTTGTCGTGTCGCTGGCGACAGTCGCAGTTCTGAGAACGGGGCTTAAGTCGAGTGTGTGGCCGAACATGTGTATTTCAGAAATCTGCCTAAAGGTTAATTTTCATGCATCCGTTATCCGACGACACGTTGATACGATATTAATTTTATTGGTTGAATTTAAACACTTCGATTGGTTAGAAACGGTTAACCAATCGAAGCCTTTAAATTCAAACAATAAAATTAATATCGTATCATCGTATCGTCGGACAACGGATGCATGAAAATCAAGCTTAAGGCTTAACCCGATCCTGTCGTGTTAAGCCACACCCAAAATTTCAAACACACGTGCTTTGATTAAAGTTTAGTTTCAAAGAGCTTCAGCATTTGCCATAAAATAGCGAGGAATTTGTTACAAAACCATATAAATTATATATCACTGTAATCACTAAACTTTAAGCTAATTCCGTATTGTAATGGAATTTTAAATTATGTCTTCATTAACGAGAAAATTTAGTCCAAACATAAGGAGTATTTTGTTGATGTTTGACCATCAAAATCTTAAAAAAAAAGTTTTTAGACAACTTTTTTTGTTGTGTCCCAATACGGATATAGTACCTATAATCCTTTATCTTTAATTTCCTTCTTCATTTGTGTAAAAATACCTAGCCAGTTTTACATAAAACGTTAAATGCCGAACGCTTATTTTGCTACTTTTCGGACTAGTGAAATGTGAAATGGACTCTTAGGCTGTTTTTTACGCGTAGAAAACAGTCTATTAGCCGGCTTTCTTACAGGTTACAGGCCCATCCCTGGTAAATTATTAATAGTGAATTTATTTTCTTAACTTTATATTATTGGCAGACATGTTTGAGTTTTCGATTTTGACATGATTTTGATTTTGACGTGGCTTGTCAAATAGATGACGTCTTGGCATGTCTTGGCATTTTGTATATCTTGTTTTGTTTATGTATTTTTTATTTAAATGTTATTTTACTAGAAATGCCTGAGAGTTTTCAAGTGTGTTGTGTTTGTCTTAATAAGTGCCAATCCGTTCAGAATATCAATGAAAACCTCCACGGAGATGCGAAATATATTGAGAAGTTACAAGTGTGCGTGCCAAATGAGGTAATATATTTTAAATTTAATGTAGTTTTTATTCATTATCAATAAAGTACATATTATTTTAGATTTGGCACGACGATTTTAATATCTGTAATGGTTGCGTGGATAAGCTAAATACAGCGTACACTTTTATTCAGCTATGTGTAAAGAGTGAGAAGTATCGTAAGGGACAGCTACAAGTAATTAAACAATCTAAAGAACCAACTCCCACAAGGTTTATTTGTCAAGAATGCAATAAGTCGTTTAGGTAGAATTTCCTTTCTGTTTTTGACTGTTGACAATATAAATCCGGTTTATTTTTAGATTAAAAAGAACTTTAAGTTCGCATATAACAAGAATTCATAGAAAGCATCGATATAATCTTAAAAAGGAATCAGAAATATGTGATCCTGTAGTAATTGATCCTGTAAAGAGAGAGTCTTTTTTAAATGAAATTGACAAAGATGGTAAAAAAGACATTGTTAACGAGCATCAGTATAGTGACAATATAAAATTTGATGTAGAAAATGATATTAAAGAGGACTTTAATGACTGTAACAATTCAGATTTAGAAAATAGGAATAGTAGTTACTCAAGGTAGGCACTCAGACAATACTAATATACCTACAGAGCTTAATTTATAATTGGTTTTATTTATAGTGATGAAGAACTAAAAAAGAAAAAGAAGATATATAAAGGGAAAAAAAGGGGACCAAAATATAAAGGGCCCAAAAAATGTGACTTTTGTGAACTTTTATTTGCTCGATCAGACAGATATGTCCAACATTTACGTTCCAAGCATACATTCGAAAAGCCTTTTCAATGTGATTTGTGCGATTCAAAGTATTGGTATTTAGTTTTTGTCTTGATGTATTTATTCCATTTTTATTTTCTAGATATTTTAGCAGTTATAATCTCAATGTTCATAAAAGAAAGCACACTAACGAAAAACCGTTTGTATGTGCTGCTTGTGGAAAAAAGTTTAGATCGTCTACTGATTTGTGGCAACATAATAAGATTCACGATAGAGTTAGACAATATCCATGTACAGAATGCGATAGAAGTTTTAAAACACATAGTAATTTAAGGTAAAGCTTACTAATGTAACAAATATCAATTAGTAATTTCAAAGTTAATTTGTTGTTAAAAAAATATTTACATATATAAAATAAAAAAGAATTTTCAATTATAAATTTCGGCAGATAAAAATAAGTAAAAAAGTTCATATAAATGTTTGTTCTAAAAAATGCTTCGTTTCGGAGATACAGGATTTAGAAGTTTCATTTTTATTTCAATTTTTTCTAAATAATTTCTGAACTAAGGTCTTTATTAGAATGGAAATTGGTATCCAGATTTTTTGACATGGTAAATCTGATTTTGACTTCAGTACTTGTTGGGGGCGCCACCTACATGTTTTTGATCTGTTTTGAAGAGTAATAACTTTTTGCCCGTACCTGTATTAAACCACTCAGTAAAAAATATACATTTCCGCCTTTTTTTACGTAAAAAAGGTCTCTTGGTAAAAGTCGCTACAAGCAACCATTCTCAAGATATTTTGAATGAAAACGTAGACTAGTGTCATGTACTACTAACGATAGATAGGACACTGACATAAAACAAGTCCGTCATTTAGAGCCACCTAGTGATCCGGAAGATACTAATGGAGTGTATTGGCATAACATAATTTGAGCGTTCTGTTAGTTATTAACGCTAACTAAAACGGTAACGTTATTCAAGCGCAAAATTATTCCTTGTAAAATATAAAATAATAAATATAGATTTTTTACTACATTTTATGTTTTATTAGATAATTAGAACTATAACATAGTCAAAATAAAAATAAAATTATGAATACATACATTTTAAATACCAACAATAGAGCACATAGCGCCTATTTTTTTTTGATTTACTAAATAAATTATAATATAGTAAAAATATTATAGATTGCTAATTAACTGTTGGCTAAAAATACTATACCGGGTGCATCTCAAAAGTGGCTCGCCCCTATAACTTTTTTATTTTTTCAGATAAAACAAAGATATTTGGTATGTTAGTATATGACATAAATTGGGATTGATTGACGTATTCAATTGTTATCGGTCACTTCCGGTTTCACCGGAAATGACTAAAACTTTTGATTTTTAAACGGCACCATCGGTATTTTTTTACTTCATTCGATAGAAAATAACACTCTGAATCGAATGACATATCATATGTCAACTTTTGACATTTTGGCATATGGTTTATTTGAAATTGTAAAATGCGGTTCATAACGACTATTTGACTCAAAATACCAAGTGTGTGGTATCAAATTATTCGTAAAAAAATGCTTTTTCCAAATATGCTAACGAGCCACCCTCGTTCCATTTGAAAAAATTGAGATATGATTAAAAATACGATTTGGGCATCTTTTAACCGCCCAGGACAAGACACTAAAAACATTAAACGATCAAATATAATTTTTTTTATATAAGGCTCCTGATTAAAAATTAGTGTTTTTAACACAGCAATGGCACTCTACATTGAAATTTAAAATAGAATTTGTTTTTGAGTGACTATGTCAAAAATTGACATATGATATGTCATTCGATTCAGAGTGTGAGTCGATGACGAGTTTTTCTATCGAATAAAGTAGAAAAAAACCGAAGGTGCCATTTCAATCAAAAGTTTTAGTCATTTCCGGTGAAACCGAAAGTGACCGAAAACAATTGAATACCTCAATCAATCCCAATTTATGTCATATACTAACATACCAAATCTCGTTGTTTTATCTGAAAAAAATAAAAAAGTTAGGTTAGTTTAGGTTATAGGTGTGAGCCACTTTTGAGACGCACCCGGTATATAGTTTATATCAAATAAACTTTTAGTCACGTGATTAAGCTTGACCGACACAGCGGTGCCCATTTTTACATATTTTCTTTTAATCAAAATATTTTAGGAAACAAAAATAAATTAATTATAAATATATAAACAGTTATTATTTACATCGACCAAACTCACCTCCTTAACAGCACTTAAGGGCATAAAAAGCCAATACTACCCGCTTTCCCGTTCAAAATATTAAAGTTGCGATGAGTTTTTACGGCCATTAAGCTATCTTGTACACTTAGCACTAAAAGAGGCTGTAAAAAGAATAGTGTTCGACTGCAAGGTCCGCTAGTAAACATTTTTAAGCTTAAAGTATCACAACAAATTTATTTAAACCAAGAACTCCTAATACAAATCTAATGTGTTAAAACGAATAACAATGTCAACAAATAAATAAATAAATATGGCTATTTGACATTTTTTACAGCAGAGCTACCACCTGAATCCCCTGCGGGAAATATAAATTCCAGTTAGTCACCCGGCGCCGAATATGTCAATGGTTGGCAACAATGAATTTAAAAATCGCGCCCTCGATTACGTAACTAAAAATTTAATTGATATTAAATATTTATTTGTTTATAGGAACTTTTTTTTCATATTTTTTGATGAGGAATCAATGGGAGTACTTATTTAAAACTTTCGCAAGTTAATGATATCATTTTATTTTAGAGGTTGCTACCGTCGTACGATCGAAAAAAAACGGCGTCCAGTTGGCTTGGAAATGACGATCGATGACATTCCCCATTTAATTTTACATATATAGAAATTTTAAAACATTTTCCGTTGCACGTCGTCAATCACATCGAAATTGACAGTAAAGCCTATAAACCTGAGTAAATGAAATTTTAGCAAAAATGTTTAAATTTGTTGACTAATTTAAAATACCAGGCAGCTCTTCATTATACTTTATAGAGCAAATGATTGTAACAGATATTTTATTTAGATTGAAGCTGCAAAAATTAGTTTAAAGCGATCTTTATTATCGCTTTGTTGGTCACATTGCGCCATGTTCAGCAATGTTGTCGTGTATTATTTGAAAATTATCCTAGTGTCAGTCATTATTTTGTATAATATCGTGTTGTTGAATTTTTGGGAGTAATTCTCGTTTTTTGCCGTTTTTCATAGTTTTTTTTCTTAAATTGTATTACTAAGCACAAACACTTCTTTTAGGAACTAAATTTTCGAGATTTTTTACTGCATTTTTTGAAATTGTGGATTGAAAATATGCTGAAGCCTTTAAACAGTCGAAGCAAAGCGCTTGTAGATATTTTATGATAAATACACCCTGATAAAATATTTTGAGCGCGAACGTGACAATAAAGGTCCTTTACCCTTGAAAGAAGTCAGAGAAGTAAGATTGATTGGTAAGCACATTATACCACTTTCAAGTTATTTCTACTTATTTCAATTTGTAGCGAGTAACTACTGCCTTAAAAAAATTATATAAAAATTATATTATACTAAATATATTGTTTGTCGCTTTTAAATTAAGATTCATCTCATAAATCCATCACAATCTGGCAGCGCTGTCGCCATCGCTTGTCACTCAAAGTTGATGACGTGCATCGGAAAATGATTAAAAATTTCTATAATATGACAACGATCTTCATTTCATAGCCATTGCCGGCGCCGTTGTTTCTCGATCATACGGTATTTATGATCTAGGTATCTCCGAAACTAAGTATTTTGTGACATAAATTTATACGCACTCTTTTACTTATTTTTATCTGCAGAAATTTCCTGATTACAGTTCGGACAACCCTGTATAATATTTGTTTTTTACTTGTAGAACACATAAATTACAGATGCATCAAGATCCACTTTTGTGGAAACACGTATGCCCAGTATGCGGAAAGAAATTTCCGCTTAATAATAATCTGGTGAAGCACATGCGCAGACACGAGGGCATTAAACCTTTCGCATGTCATTTGTGCGAGAAAAGATTCGTCGAGAAAATCGACATGCAAACCCATTTGTTAAGTCATTCCGATGAACGATTATTCCAGTGTCACCTTTGTACGAAAGAATACAAAAAGAAGGAAACGTTACGTAGACATTTGAAAGCGGAGCATGATACAGGAAACTATAGAATTAAGCAGCCGGAGAAGAAGATCTGTTGTCCGATGTGTCCTAAAGTGTTTGCCTTTAATAATAAATTGCAAAGACATATCCTAACACATACCGGTGAAAAGCCGGTTAAATGTGAGTTTTGTGAGAAGAGATTCAGGGATAATTATGATAGGAACGTGCATTTGAGGAAAGGCCATAATATGGAACCACAGTTTTAAATGTAAATAACTGAGAGTTATATGAACTATTATTTAGTATATAATTTAGAATAAATACGCTCTGAAAAACTGTTATCAGACTCTATTAATTCCATTTAAAATAATTTTATATGAAAGTTACTCAAAACATTTTTTTGGTAACATAATACCGAGTGAGTCTCAAAAGCGGCTCACCCCTATAACTTTTTCATTTTTTTAGTTAAAAAAACGAGATTTGGTATGTTAGTATATGACATAAATTAGGATTTATTGATTCACTCAATTGTTTTCAGTCACTTCCGGTTTCTCCGGAAATGACTATAACTTTTGAGTTTTAAATGACACCCCCTGCATTTTTTTACTTTATTTGACAGAAAATTCACTCTGAATAGAATGACATATCATATGTCAACTTTTGACATTTTTGGCATATGGTTTGTTTGAAATTATAACTTGCGGTTCGCAACGAAAATTTGACTCGAAATACCAAGTGTGTGGTATCAAATTATTCGTAAAAAAATGTTTTTTCCAAATATGCTAATGAGCCACCATCGTTCCATTTGAAAACATTGAGATATCATTAAAAATACGATTTGAGCATTTTCTAACCCAAGCAGCATTTGGACGTCGGGACAAAGTTGTGTCATGCGACCAAACGTAGGGGCGCAACCTCGGCACAACCTCGTGCCAACCCTAGTCTGCACTAGTTTGGAGAATAATTTTTGGGTCGAAACGACGTTGGATACCGACGTTGGCTAGCAGCCTAATTTAGTACAAACTGCAACGTTGTTTAAAATCTTAATTCACAGAAATACAAAACTAATATGGCGTCTAGTCGCGTTTTATCCTAAATTGGGATAATTATAGTAAAAATATTATTTTTATGATTTAGTTAGAGACATATGTCAGATGGCAGTGAAGGAAAACAAAACAAAAGTATTTAAGTGTGGAGGATGTTTGAAGATCATAATTATTGAAACACTTTAACCGACTCTGTAACTCGTTACCCAAGGCAAAAAAGTTAAATGCAAACAACTTTATTGAAAATGTATTGTTTCTACTTTGAAAAATACTAATGGGCCTTAAAATTAAAGAAGTTTTAAAAATTTTCTTGATTTTTTTTTTTAGTAAAATGTGAATAATTTATTCGCAGTCGAAAAAATTGTTTCCGCGTGTTTTTTAGGGTCAAATATTTCAAGTTAACGTATTCAAAAAGCAGGAATTGCTATTTTAGGAACGAAACATTTTCTTATTTAACAACATGGCGGCTTTAACTTTGTTGTTTTGGAGATTAAGATGGAGTAGTTCGAGTAGTCGCATACTGGACTAATAAAGTCGCAGTTCGGCCTTAACAAGTAGTATACTAGTCGCAAGATTGCCTAATTTAGTCATCCTAGAGTCTAGCTTGTGCCGCCCTCTATAATCTAAATTAACGAGGGAGTGGATAAACTATCGGTAATATATGTCGATGTATATTTAAATTTAGTTTTATATGTACCTTTCTTATGTCCCATTTTAATTAAGTTTTTTTTATAAAAATAAAAACAGCACTGAACTATCTGACTGAACAGAACAATGAAGTGAAAATTTAAGATTTAAGGTTATGGTTCAATACAGTTGCAAAAAGGTAGTGACTCGACGTCCTACCAACGTAAGAGTAAGGAAATCTAAACAACGTTGGAATTAGTAAAACAGACGACGTTTGCATAACGTTGGAATAGGTCCTGAAACTGACGTCGGAAAACTCTATATTGTCCAACGTTGTAATTACGTTGTCCGAATCACCTAAAGATCACTTAAGCAAAAAGGTTACAAGACAACGTTTATTCGACGTCGCAGAAGCTTCTACTTTGCTGTAGTACTAGTCCAACGTCGGCACAACGTTATAAAAACGTTTAAATTTATTTTAATACCCAAGGTAGGGAGCTAACTATTTTTTGTAACTAATCCAACGTTGTGTTTAGTAAACATGTGGTCGCAAGTCGTGAAAATGCTACTTGGGAACTGGCCAGGACAAGACACTAAAAACATTAGACGATCAAATTTATTTTTCCAAGGCTCCTTGATGAAGAATTAGTGTCTTTAACATAGCCATGGCACTCTAGATTGAAATTTAAAATACAATTTTTTATTAAGCGAGAATGTCAAAAGTTGACATATGATATGTCATTCTATTCAAAATGTCATTTTCTGTCGAATAAAGTAAAAAAATACCAAGGGTGCCATTTAAAAACCAAAAGTTGTAGTCATTTCCGGTGAAACAGGAAGTGACCAAAAACAATTGAATTCACCAATCAATCCTAATTTATGTCATATACTAACATACCAAATCTAGTTTTTTTATTTGAAAAAATAAAAAAGTTATAGGGGTGAGCCACTTTTGAGACGCACCCGGTATAATACACCAGGGGCGCATATACGGGAGGGGTAATGGGAGTAATTATCCCTCCCAGGATGAAATTTATAACTAAGAAAATCTGTTATAAAATAAAATTGTCACAAAATAAATTAATAATATCAATCAAAATAGAAACCCAGAACAATCTAAGTTTATTTTGTTCCATAGTCACAACACATTTGGCCGAAAATTTAATTTAAATCGATTACTTTATTTAAATATATTGATGACTTTTTAACTAATTTATAGCATAATTATTTAGCTTTTTAGTATTTCTTTTTCAATTAAAAATAAAAGTTGCCATCAGTTATAACAAAATAATAATAAATAATAACAAAATGTTGATATTTCCGTGAAAGTTTGAAACACCCTGTGGAGTACATTAACAAAGCAAAGATTTTAAAAATCGTTTTATCGTCTCGATATTTTGTTTTTTAATTCATCTTCTCTAGCATTATTTTTTTGGAGGTATTCGCTATTGAAGAAGATATCAAAATAAGCAGCAATAGCTGATACTTCAAAACCGTCGATCAGAACCTTTCCATCTCTACTAGAGTAAATGTCAATAAACAATAATAATATGACTTCTCAATAACAGCAGAATAACAGTGACATAACAAAAACAATAAATACTATTTTATAAGTGTGTTGATGAGTACCCAAAATCGATGATAAGAAAGCTGTAAGTCTCCAATAAAAATAAAGCTATTAAGATGAATCAAAAAACAAATTATTGAGAAACGAGATACCTAGATGATAAAATTATTTTTAAATTCCTTGCTTTGTTAACATATTCCCCAGGTTGGTTCAAATTTTCATCAAAATATCAACATTTTGTTTTACCTCGTATAATTGACAGATGGAAACTTTTATTTTTAATTTAGAAAGAGATACTAAAAAGTCAAATAATTTAGCTACAAATTGCATAAAAAATCATCAAAATCGGCCCACTAGAACAAAATATATTAAACTTTAAAATTCATCAAAATTTTACAGGTGCCCGTTTTTCGTACCGCTGAGTAATTCACAGATAAGTTAAAATTGTGTTAATATTCCCCGGGCATACAATAATTAAATACATTGAAGCGGGATTTTACGAATACGTACGATACAGTAAAATACCTTAATGACTCATTCTTTATTGGCTTGACTTAAATTGAGATCTTTATGAATGTTATATTACATATTACCAGCCTTTAGCGGATCAAGCCTGTTACAGGCCAAATCCGCAGACTTGATCTGTCAGATTTCATATCTGGATTGCGGGTGAGGTTGCCACCTTTTTGCAAAGTAAAAAAAAGACATTGGACTGATTGGACTATGAAAAAGGTCGGGGGGCGAGGGGAGGGAAGGGGTAAGCTGTTAATAATTCTCAATCGCCGATTATAAATTGCTATTTTAAAATTGTGAAAAGCTCTTTTTAAGATCAAAATGGTTAAATAAAAAAATATATCTTAAACTATCATTTGAGATTCGGGGTTTGAGACGCGGGGTTCTAAATAATGTTGCCGATTCTAAAGAATAGTACCGTATGAAAAAAACGGCGTCAGCGATTGCTATGAAATGAAGATCGCTGTCATTTTATATGTAAAATTAAGGTAAAATTATATGGAGAATGTCATCGATGTTCATTTCCAAGCCAACTGGACACAGATTTTTTTTAGTATCGAGAAATTATGGTTACATTCGTTGAATTTGACACTTTATGTCAGTTCCATAACATATTTTCGTACTTTTGCTTAGGCGTAAAAGTGCTTTACTTTTATGCTTAGGCGTTAAAATGACTTGTTATATTGCAATCACGTCGCAAAAATTGATACTTTCTTGACGTTAAAAAAACATTTATTTATAAGTTTTATAATATGTCTAATTAAATTTGGGCGAAAGGAATATTGCTTGTAGCTGTAGATAATTTCTCAGGGAAAATAGGTAGGTAAATAAAAAGGACTTTTTAGGTCTAAAAAAGTAAAAAGGAAAATTTATTTAAAAAAAAACTGTCCTTTTCAAAAAAGGACAGGTGGCAACCCTATATAGCTGCGGGACCGATCGCTTAAACATCCCTTGCGTGTATGGGCGACCATAGCTTTGACCATAGGGGGCGAATAATGTCAACTACGTAGGTATAAATAGATCTATACATAAAATAATTAACTAGATCTATGGTAGGTACTGCAACATATTTTTCCAAAAATTTCTGTAATTTATGCTACATCCTGTAAACTTAAGAATAAATCTAGATAGGTAGTTCCCAGACTGTAGTTCCAGGTAGTTCATTGAAATCAAATAGCTTTTTGATTATATGGACGAAGTACCGTATGATCGAATAAAAACGGCGTCAGCGATGGCTATGAAATGATCGCTGTCATTTTATATGGGAAATGTCATCGATCGTCATTTCCAAGCCAACTGGACGCCTTTTTTTAGATCATACGGTAGAAACCAGAGGTATGAACTAAATACCAACTTATTACGATGGCTCATCTTGACCTACGGGCTACGACCTTCAATTCTTCACGTGTTTTTTTCTAAATTTGGATAGCCTACTGACTTTGTTGAGACTTTTTATGGTATAATCTGGTAAAATTCGTTTTTAACAATTGCTAAAGAACGAATGTTATAAACTAACTACTTGTACTTACTCATTCATAATAGTTTTATTTTTTTTATTTAATTATTTAGATAGGTATACTATAATAGGTCGTAAAACCTAATTTTTAGTTCTTATCTGAAGAAGAGAAAACGATCTTTCTACAGCATTCTAAGGCATGGTTATATAAAGATTAACATCGTTAGAACAATAACGTTTTATTATTGTTTTCCTAAGTAGGTAACAGTATTTTTTATGGTTTTTGAAATAAACCGCATGCTTGCTCGATGCTTGCTTAGAAATACGTCATCGTCGATCAATAAAATATATTAATGTTTATTTATTCGTCTATGAATTCAGTTGAAAAGAAAACCAAGCAGCTTAAATGGGGATTTCCATTTTTTCAGTGCAAAAAACAATTCAGTATAATACATTACTTAGAACAATAAAACTGTATCCTTGCTTACTATTCCGAAGGAAGGTCTATTCCAGTCTATACTGTTTACTGTTGTAATAATAGATAATATAGTAATTTACCTGTAGCTGTATTTAAACAATCATTGTGGGGATTATTGATAAGGTGGGGAATTTAAACTTTGTTCTTTTTTTAACTAAGATTTTATTTACCCGATTTATTTCTAACTATAGAGTATAGTGAGTGTAACAAAATAAATGATATATTTTTAAATATCAAGAGGAAACGGTAAGTATATTTAACGTTTAAATCATAAAATTAATGTTGAATTTTATATTAAAAATAGGATAAAAAGAAATTAAATTTTTGAAAATTACCCGCGAAGACTTAATTTTGATTTTTGGCATTTATCAGCTGGGTATTTTCAATTCAGGGTTGGTCCCTAGTCTCTCTATTTTTTTCTATGGTCATCGTTTCTAACATATTTTTGGTTATTTATTCTATGGTTGGTCCCTTCTTGGAAAAAAGGGATTTCTAATCCTAATCAATCTAGTAAAAGTATTCTATTTTTATTTATTGTATTTATGTAGCCTATTAAATTTACAAATTAAACAATGAACAAAGTGCACGCACGTATTTGTTTAGTGAATATTACAACCGTTTAGTTTGCACAAATTTATGTATTTGCCTAGTTTACGATGGTACCTATGCTTATGTTATTTCTTAATAAGTTTAATAATCTTCTAGAAATATTAGAATTAATTAAATTGCATTATTCCTTGATGCAGTTTATGCTACTATTATGATAATGCTCTATAATTTATGTTTGTTATATAATAAAATGTGTATTGTTTCTGATAACATGTCTAGTATGTTATACAATGTTTATTTCAGATGCCACAACAATCTTACAGCCCCAACGAGGCTAGTAATATTAATAGTGAATATAGCCAGAGTAACCCCAACATGTCAAATATTTCCACAATACCTAATGAAACAACTTCGTTAGCCAGATCTCAAACATATTTTGGAGAAGAGCGAATACATATACCTGAAACATCTCATGTAAGATGATTCATGACTTCCTGTATACATCTATTTTAGTTTACTCTGTTATTTTATAGAATGGATTTAGTTTTAAGAAATTGTGGGCCTTCACTGGACCGGGTTTTCTTATGTCCATAGCCTACCTGGATCCAGGAAACATTGAGAGTGATTTGCAAAGTGGAACAGTAGCTCAGTACAAGTTGTTATGGGTTTTATTATCTGCAACAATTTTGGGGCTTTTAATGCAAAGACTTTCAGCAAGATTAGGTAAATTATTGTACAGTGCAGCAAATTTTTACATTTTTTTTAAATATTTATTATTTTAGGAGTTGTAACAGGTTTACATTTGGCAGAAATGTGTTATAGACAATATAGGAAAGTTCCTAGAATAATTTTGTGGCTCATGATTGAAATAGCTATTATAGGGTCTGATATGCAAGAGGTAATCGGAACTGCTATAGCTATTTATCTATTATCAGGGACAAAGTAAGGCAATGCATTTTCATATTATTGTAATTATATTCTATTACTTTTATATTTATAATAGAATACCCATATGGGGCGGAGTTTTAATAACAATAATTGACACATTCACCTTTTTACTTTTTGACAAATACGGTTTACGTAAACTCGAGAGTTTCTTCGGACTTCTAATCACTGTAATGGGTGTAACATTTGGTTATGAATATGTCACTTCAAAACCAGATGCTCTAGGTGTTTTCAAAGGTATGTTTATACCTTGGTGCCAAGACTGTGATTCTAGAGCCCTTTTGCAAGCTGTAGGGATTATTGGTGAGTCTTGTAGAAAATTACCTCTGTTCCATTTTATATAGAATTATTTTAGGAGCTGTAATTATGCCCCACAATTTATACCTACACTCAGCCTTAGTGAAATCTCGACATATAGATAGAACAAAGCCTGAAAAAGTTCGAGATGCCAACCTCTATTTTTTTATTGAAGCCTGTATAGCTTTGTTTGTTAGTTTTGTGATTAATGTATTTGTAGTGGCTGTGTTCGCTCATGGATTGTTTCAAAAAACAAACGCTGATATTGTAAGTACATATTAATAGAAATAAGGATAGCTTTATCAGTAATAGAACCCCAAAGAGAAATTTCTATAGTCTAATCAAGAAATGACATTCATAAAAATAGCGGATCAAATAACACATTTTTGCTTTAAATTGGCAGACAACTGTCAATAATATCCTTGTGATTGCATATAAAATCTTCCCAATAAGTCAGAAGATTCTGACAAGACATCCAAAAAATGACAGAAAATACAATTTGCCTGTGAATTAAAAATGACAGGCACAATTATCCCTCTTCAGGGATCCTCCAGTTGAACCTTGTGGCGCGTCTAGAGATTGAGTCTGGGAGGAAATCTTCCTCCTGGGAGGTAATCTCTTCCTTTAAATTTTCTTAAGTAAAGTTCTTAAGAAACGTACTTAAGTTCTTATTTTGTGGACCAATAAACCTGGATTGGTCTGGATTTTCTATTTTGATTTGTATTATTAATTTCTTTTGCGACAGTTTTATTTTATACCACATCTTATTTATAATTTTTTTGGGAGGGGTAATTACCCCTCTTGTATTGCCTCTGAGTTGAACACACTATTACACATGTTTGAAAAGAATGCCATCAACTTGGCTTGGAAATGTTGATCAATAGAGGGAATTACAGGTCTGCTGAATGCAGTCATTGACCATATAATTTTACATATAAAATGACAGTGATCTTAATTTGACAATGACAATAATAGATTAGATTAGATTCCTAGAGGTGGTTATCGGCCTGATCCACTGCCACCTTCTCAGATATATTGTGGTCATGACAATAATAATATTTAAGGATAAAATACTTTTTTAAAGTCAAATTTCAAAAATATTTAAATATAAGAAGCAAATTAATCTCATAATTATTAGTATGTAAAGAATTAATTGTTTTTATAAATAAAATAACATAGCAAGATACAGCATGCGCTTTTTATGTTAGGAATTTTTTAATCCTTTTAGGAAATACCAATCGTATTTTTATTATTTTTAATCATTGATAATGTTGCCTTAATTTATCAGTTATAGAAACAATAAAAGAATTAGTATTATTATTTATTCCAAATTCCAAATACAAAAACTGTCAAATGTTAAGCTTCATCTACACATAACGTTTTATCTGTTTAGTAAAAATGTATGTGTAAAGGTGCGTTCACACCGGCTGCGCTGGCCGCGAAAATCATTTTTTTAACATATACTTTTGTGCGCGCTAAAAAAATACACTTCAAAAGTACATGTTAAAAAAACGTTTTGCGCGGCTCTGGTGTGAACGTACCTTAAAGAGCTGTCCAATAAACTGATGGGATCGTTCAGTATTATAACCTGTCGTTTTGCCTACTCTAAAAAAAATAAGCAAATTTACAAAAAAATAATATGTGTACCGGGTGTTTCTCAAAAGTTGCTTACCCCTATAACTTTTTTATTTTTTCAAAAAAACGAGATTGGGTACGTTATGGATACGTTAGTATATGATATAAATCAGGATTGATTGACGTATTCAACTGAAGGGTCCAGGGGAAAACTTGATAAGCGCCAATTTCTTAATTTTATTATTTTTCTAACTACTAACTACTAACTAAAATTTTATGTTTTTTTAAACTTCACTATAATACAACTTCACACAGTACTATCATTGATAAAACAGCAGATAAAATTTCCAGTGTAAGCACTAGTCTTTAATCCGTCTTACCTGACAGGCAAAACGGAAGGTAAAAAGTTATGTGTAGGTGTGGCTTTAGAGCTAGATTACAGTTGAGGGTTGGAACCTTTGGTGTTACACAGCAAAATAAAATTACACTAAATCACCACAATACACCAAAACACTTTTACTTTTACACTACGCGTGTAAAAGTAAAAGTGTTTTGGTGTATTGTGGTGATTTAGTGTAATTTTATTTTGTTTTTTAGAGCTAGAGTTACAGTTTTTCCTCATTATTGGTATAATTTTTTCATTCTACTAGCACAAAGCCTGTTTAGCTTATCCTTCTATCAATGCCACCATTTTTCCAAACACTGGACCTGAAGCCAACGATTATGTTAAAGCAGACTTGTACAAAGGTGGAATCTTCTTAGGATGTATGTATGGTGTTATAGCTATGTATGTGTGGGCCGTAGGCATTTTAGCTGCTGGGCAAAGTTCTACAATGACAGGTAAGTTTTTTGTGGCCTTAAGAGTCCATTTAACTAGTCAGAAAAAGTAGCAAAATAAGCGTTCGGCATTTAACGTTTTATGTAAAACTGGCTAGGTATTTTTACACAAATGAAGAAGGAAATTAAAGATAAAGGATTATACTATATCCGTATTGTAGCAGATTTTTAGACAACTTCTTTATTTTTAAGATTTTGATTGTCAAACAACAACAAAATATTTCTTATGTTTGGACTAAATTTTCTCGAAAATAAAGATATAATTTAAAATTCCGTTACAATACGGAAATAGATTGAAGTTTTGTGATTACAGTGATATAATAATTTATATGATTTTGTAACAAATTGCTCGCTATTTTATGGCAAATGTTGAAGCTCGGCAAACCTTAATCAAGCCTTAATCAAAGCGTGTAAGCCTTAGGCTTCTTCTTCATGTGCCTTCTCCTCATCAGAGGTTGGCGACTATCAATTGTGTATCTATCATATATAAATACTTATCAATTATTTCATGTTTCATGTATAAATATTTAATTAATTGATTTTCGGTATATTCTAACTATGTTATTCTACCCTTTAGTTTTCTATTATAATTATTATTGATTTATTATAATATTTTTATATAACATATATTAATTATGTCTACTAATTAGGGTTAAGTTAGGAAGCTAAGCTTCAACTTCGCCTTTTGTGATTTTTTTTTTAAATTTCGCAATAAAGTCTTTATTATTATTATTATTATTATTATTAATATATATTTCCTTCGGCCCCACACGCTTTACCCGACTTCTGAGAGCGACCCGAACAGTACAGCGTAATAGACTTAAGTTAATAGCTAGATAAAGCATTTAATGAATAAATTACATTTAACTAAACAATTTGTTTTTATTACTTCTTACCACATTTTTTCTCAGAATTTTTTAATTATAGAACTTAGTTATAAAATTAAGATTGCAAGTAAAAGTACGGCAATGCAGAACTAGGTACGCTAGAATATTATTCCTTAGTAATGCCTCCTGTTGATTATCCAGTAATATACTCATAAGGGACGTCAGGACCTTTAGGCACCTTCAGTGGTGTGGAGTGCAAATCAATGCAGAGTAGGCAAAAAATATTTTTTACTCTAAAATTAATTGGGACACACACACGAAATTATATCAAGCGTTACTTCTTTATTTTCTGTTTTTTTCTTACACATTGGCTTTTCAGTCATACCGTTTATATGCACGCCACTGGGTACCTGGTTAAGTTAATGAAAAGTAATATGAAATTTAATTTTATATCGTAAGCACGTTTCTCTTGTTCATTTTAAAAGTACATTTTTATTCTGTGGATTGAAGTTTACAATACCAATTAATAAGTTTAGGTATCGTAAAATACCGAAAGATGATGTATGTTTGTTTGTATTTAGGAACCTATGCAGGTCAGTTTGCTATGGAAGGTTTTTTAAACTTACAATGGGCTCGTTGGAAGAGAGTTTTATTTACCCGATGCATCGCCATCGTACCTACATTTGCCTTGGCGTTCTTTAGTACAATCGATGATTTGACAGGGATGAACGATATATTGAATGCTGTAATGAGTATGCAGTTACCGTTTGCGACGATACCCACAATTGCCTTTACCAGTAATCCACAGATCATGGGAGAATTTGCTAACGAATAGTAAGTAGATTTTATTTAATTTTTATTTTATTTTTTTACTGGTGTGTACTACGGGAGTACCTCGTTTTAACGCGGTTTTGCTTATATGCGTTTGATTTCTTGACCATATACAGGGTGTCATTGAAATGGTGTAAAAAAAGTTCCTCTAAGTATAGGGCGGAAAATGCATATTAAGGGAGTTAGGGGCACTGAAAGGGTGAATTTAAAAAACGGTTGTGTTGAAATTGTAGGCTTAAAAAACCAGATAAAATTTCGAAAAAAAATCCTCTGCCATAAATTTTGACCCTAAATTAATTGGTGATACTGAAAAATTATTTGGAAAAGCGGAAAGGGTAGTTTTTGCAACGGTAAGGGGTTGTTTCGTGAATATTTTACATTTTTTGAAAACTACATACTTTTTCCTACAAAAAAAGGTACTCTTGATGCACATCGCCCAGAGCGATGGTTTTCGAGAAAATTGAAGGCAAATAGTTTGCTCTCATGGGTTGCTAACTGGTTAATCAACATAAACTTATGAAAGTTATGGCGGTTCAAAAGTAACCAAGTAGTTATCAAATAATGAATTGAAAAATCAAAATTTCATGATTTTTAAAACATCTTATTGCTTTAAAAAACGAAATAATCCACTAGATTTCTACTTTTGGGGCCACTTGAAAGCTTTGGTTTAGTCAGTGCCGATCTCTATGGTGCCGATTAATACTGAAGAGCAACTATGGCAACGCATTATTGACTGTTCCAATCAAATTTGGACAACACCAAGAATATTCCACAGGGTACGCAGATCTTGGAGCAGATGTCTATATTGAAATGAATGGTGATCACTTTAAACATTTACTATGAATGAATTAAGGAATGCGTTATTTTAATAAGGAATTATGGTAATTGTTTTATTTCGTTTTTAAAGCAATAAGATGTTTTAGAAATCATGAAATTTTGATTTTCTAATTAATTATTTAATATCTACTTGGTTACTTTTGAACCGCCATAACTTTCATAAGTTTATGTTGATTAACCAGTTATCAACCCATCAGAACAAACTCTTTGCCTTCAATTTTCTCGAAAACCATCGCTCTGGGCGATGTACAACAAGAGTACTTTTTTTGTAGGAAAAAGTATTTAATTTTCAAAAAATGAACCCACGTTGCAAAAAAAATAACCTCATAAAAGTTATTCACGAAACAACCCCCTACCCTTGCAAAAACTGCCCTTTCCGCTAGGGCTGCACCGAGTACCGAGTAGTTCAGTGCTCGGCCAGAATTTTAACCGAGTAATATGTACTCGGTGCTCGGCCTTACTCGGCCGGGTAGGCCGAGTAAAGTATAGTAATATAAACCATCCATTTATGCATGTCCAAAACAGAAAGAAATGAAACTCACAGTGGCAAATAATAAAATAAACAAAAAGTTATTCATTCATAACTTTAATTAATGTATTTTAGCAAAGTAATAATAATAAGTATAAGTAATAACACAAACACAGTGAAATAATAATTTAATACTTATAATCTAAAAGAGGTTAGCACTGTCACTCATTTTAATATAACTTTAAAGGGTATTATTAATTGTTTGAATTATTTTTCACTTTTAAATTAGTTACACATATAAGTTTTGCTTAAAACAAAATCAACGTCGCCACCGCACCTTAAAAGAATCAATTCAGAATCCAGCACATTAGAAATATCAGTTTGCATGGGGAACCACAGAACAAAACAATATCTCCATAAGCAAAACAAACCAGGTCATTGGTTTGTAGTCGGGGAATCCCAGCCGCTCGCCAATCATAGGCAAAACAAACAAGGTCATTGGTTTAAGGCAGGGGAATTCCGGGAATTTTAACTAGCTTTCTTTAATGTTAAATTATATATTTATATTTATATTATGTATAAAATATAATATTATTATGTTATGGTGTATAGTATAATAATTAGTATATATTGATAGAGGTCGCATAACTGTTAAGACTGTTAAAAATCAGTATCACCATTTGATTTGGGGTCAAAATTTATGGTAGAGGATTTTTTTCCGAAATTTTATCTCGTTTTTTAAGCCTGCAATTTCAAAACAACCGTTTTTTAAATTCACCCTTTCAGTGCCCCTAACTCCCTTAATATGCATTTTCCACCCTATACTTAAAGGAACTTTTTTTACTATTTTTAGGGGTACTATCATCCCCCGATTTTTTTACACCATTTCAGTGACACCCAGTATATTGGTTGATATTGCTAGATTTCTGTGTGAGAATTTATATGAAAATTTAAATTGAAGGGTCCCAAGGAAAACTTGATAAGCGTCAATTTCTTAATTTTAGGATTTTACAATATTATAGTAGGTCAGATTGTTTCAAGTTTTAGAGCTATTTATAATTCTTATTATTTACAGTGCTAACAAGGTTATGTCGATCGCGTTGAGCATTGTCGTCATTTCAATCAATATTTATTTCGTCGTGAGTACCGTGAACGAGTTTAGTTTGAGCTGGTTCTGGTTGACTGTTGTCATACTGGTTGGAATCTTTTATATACTATTTTGTATATATTTGGTCGTGCATATGGCTATTTCTATGGGACATACGCGACTAATGAGGTACAACTTCGTAGAGAAGTACGTGATGGGACCTGTTGATGCCACATTAGCAGTTTGCCCTACAGGATATTCTAGGTAAGTACAGTCAAGTATTTTGAAAGAAGTAACAAATTTAGTTTGCGTGTGTTTCTGATTAAAAGCTTAGTAGTTAAAAAAACTGACAAACTGCTTATTGTTTGACAAGCGGATCTGAAACAGTAAGAGGATTGCAGGCAAAAAAAATCGATGTTGTTAATAAATGTTTTTTGAAATGAAACTTCTTTACGCGCGATGGGTAAGTCAATGGAGAAGTTGAGATGGGTCTTTGCAGCGTCGTAACTCGGGCACCATGTGAGCCAAGTGTCTGAAACTCGGAATGTAGATGGGTCCCTCTTTTCATGATATTTTGACGACGTTTCGTGCAGTATGAAACCCCATAATGAATGGCGAATAAATCGTTCGATGTAATGGGTCTTTGAAGCGTTTACATCTTCATCAGGGTGTGACTAAGGATTGAATAAAAATGTGGGTCGATTTCGGAATAATTGGGGATGGGCTACAGGATGACGCCTTCGATGTTTCGAACCGATACCTCTAAATGGACGAAATCATCGGGATTTTCTTAATTATTGATCAATTGGAACCAAACTCAGCACGTGGATAGACGTACTCAAATGGAGTCCTCAGATAGACAGACAGACGGAAGTAAGAAGAGGTTTCACTTCAACGCAATTTTTTTATTGCTGAAAGGATAAAGAAAAGTTCACACATTAATTAGTTGATTTATTAACGCTTGAATTAATGCCTGAAAGCAATATTAACATTCTTCTTTTCCTATATACAGGGTGGTCCGAACTGTATTCCGGAAACTTTAGCAGCATATTCTGCAGATAAAAATAAGTAAAAAAGTTCGTATAAATGTATGTCCCAAAATGCTTAGTTTCGGAGATACTGGGTGTTGAAGTTTCATTTTTATTTTGATTTTTTCCAGATAATTTCTGAAGTAACGTCAATATTTGGATGAAAATTCTGGGAGTTTTTTGACATGAGAAATTTGCTTTTGATGTCAATATGACTTACTTGTAGAGGGCGCCACCTACACATTTTTTAACTTATTTGAAGAGTAATAACTTTTCGTCCGTACCTGTATAAAACTACCGAGTAAAAAATATACATTTACGACGTTTTTGACGTAATAAAAGTCTCTTTGTAAAAATCGCTACGAGTTATGGTTCTCGAGATATTTGGAATCGAAATTATCAATACCTGTCGTTATTGACATAAATTAAACATGTTATTAGACTGAAATCATAAATTTCAAATGTTTTGGTGCCAAAGGTTCAACAGAAACTGTTTTATCATCATTTTTTCGAAGAAAAATTTATGATTAATTTAAAAAAATAAAAAGTTTATTTTTTTTAGTCAAATAACTATCTACACAACACGTTTATTTTTTGTCAATAATGACATGTATTGACTGTTCCCATTCTAAATATCTTGAGAACGGTTGCCCTTAGCGCTTTTTTCCAAGAGACATTTTTTTTACGTAAAAAACACGGAAAGGTATATTTTTTTTCACTCAGTAGTTTTATACAGGTACGGACAAAAAGTTATTACTCTTCAAAACATGTTTAAACTACATGTAGGTGGCGCCCTCTACAAATAGGAGTCATATTGACATAAAAATCAAATTTCTCATGTCGAAATACTACCAGACACCAACTTTCATCCAAATATTGATATTACTTCAGAAATTATTTGGAAAAAATTGAAATAAAAATGAAACTTCTACACCCTGTATCTCCGAAACTAAGCATTTTAGGAAATACATTTATACGAACCTTTTTACTTATTTTTATCTGCAGAATGTGCTGCCGAAGTTTCCGGAATACACTTCGGACCACCCTGTATAAAAAATGCTTTATTTATAATGCTTTGGCAACACTACTAATGGTTGAATATTAGCATTAGGTGTGCGACCGGTATACAACCTTGAATAAATTTCTAATTTTATTAATTCAGGCATAATGCTTTTTATTATGAAGCAGTAATATTTTTAAACAACATAGTCCTATATTTTGATCTTTTATAAAATTTAACTTTTATTTTTGACATTTATTAGGTTTGTTCCAACCCCAAGTTTTAGAACGGTTCTGGAACCGTTCTGAAATCATTGGGGCTAGTCTTATCCGCATGCGTTAACTCGGCACTGTTTTTGAACGATTCTAGATTGACAATCGGTTGGAACAGTTTCGGAACCGTTTTTAATCTGTCTTGTCAAAACACCGGTTAAAATAACCTCACTTTTTGTTTGATGTAAGATGTAAACAAAACAAACCTTAATAATATTCTTCACAGATATTCTTATTAATTGTATAGAACAGTGGAAACTGTAAAAAGTGGTAAATTACTACCTACATCAATAAATAATGGACACAAACCATAATTTTGGTAAGTTTCACTTGGTTTACTATTCGTTTTTTTTTGTTGAAACCATAGACTAATGTCACGTACTAGAGATAGATTGGACACTGATATAAACAAATAAGTCCTTCATTTAGAGCCTGGTGATCCGGAAGAAACTAATGGAGAGTTTTGGCATGGCACAATTTTATCGTTCCGTTATTTATTAACGCTAACTAAAACGGTAACGTTATTAAAGCAAAAAATTATTCCTTATAAAATATAAAAAATATAGACTTGTTTACTATATCTTATGTTTTATTAAATCATTAGAAGTGTAACATATTCAAAACTAAAAATAAAATTATGAATACATAGGTACATTTTAAACACCAACAATAGAGCACATAGCGCCTATTTTTTTTATTTAACAAATAAATTATAAAATAGTAAAAATATTATAGACTACTAATTTACTGTTACTAAAAATACTATTTTACCAACTATGTACTTACTTATTTATGATTAAACATTTTTTTATTTCGTTCATAAATATATTATTTCTAAGATGTTTAAAAAATGTCTTTAATAAAAAAGTTTAGTATCTAACACTAAAATGGTGATCGACCGTAAATATCAAAATGCACAAACTAATAAAAACACAAACTATAAACACAAATCACCGAACTTTTCGGCAAATCAGGAATATCTGAATTAATAATTATTTAAAAATGATTAAAAAATAATTTGACGGATCACCAACATTTTGACAACTAGATCAAAACTAGACCATAGATGATAGTAAATATAGAAGCTGTCATGTTATCTTCGTATATAAATTAGAAACCTGTACTTTCATGTCTTTTGCGCCGTCTGGCGATGCGGAAGAAACTAAATTTGTAGTCCCATAAAACTACTATTGAGTGTCTAGGGCCTGGTTGAAACTAAAACCCATTAAACTCCAAACAAAACAAGCAAACGCCCCGGCCCAAATGTCAATCAGCTGATAAAATTTACTAACTGCGCATGTCAGTATAAAGAGTTCCCACTTACTGGCAAGTATCGAAATGACGGTTCCGAAACCGTTCTAAAAACGATCAGAAAATTGGTTGGAACGCAAAGAGAATCGTTCGAGAACGATCCCTATCAAGGTTGGAACGCGTTTAGCTCTATGCGCATGAACGGAACCGTTCCTGAACGGTTCTCAGCGGGGTTGGAACAAACCTATTATGTATCAAAATTTGAATTAAATTGATTATTCACGAAGTCATATAGGTAATATAGTCTAGATGCCTAGATTCTTATTGATTTAGTTTAGGGCTGTATTTAAGTTTACTTTTCTGGTATTTTATGATGAATACTACAAAAAATATATTGCTATATATTAAACTAGAAATTTTATACGAACAAATATCATAAAATACATTTTTTTTTCACTGCAGTGAAGAATATTCTTAAGGAAATGGTATTTTGTAAGTATTTGTTGCAACAAATATTTGTTTTACTAAATATTCTTTTTTCTTTGCACAGTATTAAGATGTAAGCGTTGAGTGGAGGAGTTAATTTTAGTGGTAATGGATTTGTATACAGGATGTACTAACCTACATTTCATTCAATTACTAACACCTCTAATCTATAAAAAGGTATGGTATAATAAATGAAACGCTTATTAACAATAATATTGAAGGGAATTCTCCATTCAAAAATAAAAAGAATAGTATCAAACAACTACAGAGAGTAGTTAGTTTTGCAAAACTAACATTTATACATTTTTTGGCTGGTTTGCTTTATTTGGGTTAGTTTGATTTTTGCTACAGATATAAAAATTTTAAAGAAAATTCAGTGGGACTGGCAACATTGCTTTCCCTTCTGTCGGTGTCATCTCAAATAAGTGTTAAAATTATAGTATCAAACAACTACAGAGAGTAGTTAGTTTTGCAAAACTAAGATTTATATATTTTAGATTATTTCTTGATAAAACACTTGATTTTATACTAGAAAAGCTGTTCTTATTTTAAAGTTTATTATTAACGCTTCCTTTAACTAACAAACTTGCTTAAAACTTATTTGTTTCTAAACTGCATAATCGAAAAAAAAACGGCGCAACATTGGCCTTTCAAAGGAACTTCAATAATTTCTGTCTGGCCGATTACTATTTATTACAAATTGACATAAAAATGTTGTTCTGGTCAACTATTTATGTCAGATTTAATAAAGGACATATAGCGGTCAGACCGACAAATTATCGAATGTCATTTCAAAGGTCACTGTACGTCATTGTTTTATTCAATATCGTATATTTACGTAAAATGGTTGATGCTTTTTTAAATATTATGCATTTTTATTGCTAGTATTAATTTTTTTTCTTTAAAATTTCTTGTTTTATTTTCAGTTCTAGTTCGGAATTAACCCATCAGAATTCTGTAGAAGAAAAATAAGAACAAAAATCTTTTTAGGAAATATCGCATAAATATATTTTTATTCTCGTGTTTTAAAATGTTTTGTTGACTTTATATTTTACATTAAATATATGACCTACTTAATTATTTATGCCATAATAGAGAAGATATTAATTTTATGTTACTTTACCAGACATAATTTTTAGATTTTATGTTTTTATTATTGTGATATTTTGATTTATAGATCCAAATATATAATAAACTGTTTTACAAGCTCCACATTAGTGTTTTCATACTAACAGTAAAAAACTTTAAATTTTGAGATTGACTATTTATACTCCAAGATCCCAGAGCGATCAGACATAACTTATTTTCACAACGATGAAACCTTAGGTTTTCTTATTGTTCAACAACATTTCAAAGGGCGAAAGGCCCCACAAACACGCTAGTATTCAAAGCACATGAGACCACTACTGAGAGCCTCAGATTTCATCCTTGTGAAAATAAGTTATGTCTGATCGCTCTGGGATGTTACTCTATTATTAAAAAATGAATTAAGCTTGATTTTCATGCATTCGTTGTCCGACGATACGTTGATACGATATTAATTTTATTGGTTGAATTTAAAGACTTGGATTGGTTAGAAAATTACGCAGTTTTTAAATTTATTGCATTTTCATGCCTCCGTTCATCGGACATATGTTTGTGTTATTTTATATTTTCGTTTCCATAACGATTTTGCTATTTTACTTATATTTTGATTAAGGTTAAACTAAATTTGTCAAAAAAGTGTCAAAACGTCTGTTATCGTATGAACGTGTCCGTTGACGGGTTGAATTAAAATATTTACGGATGAAAAGTGGCGCGAAAACGCTATGACCAATCAGAGCACCGTCGGACCATTGTATCAACGTATAAAGCTTGATTTTCATGCCACTTTTCATCCGTAAATATTTTACTTCAGCCCGTCAACGGACCCGTTCATACGATAACGGACGTTTTGACACTCTTTTGACAAATTTAATCTAACCTTAATAAAAATATAAGTAAAATAGCAAAATCGTTATGGAAACGAAAATATAAAATGACACCAACGTATATCCGATAAACGGAGGCATGAAAATGTAATAAATTTAAAAACTGCGTTATTTTCTAACCAATCAAAGTCTTTAAATTCTACCAATAAAATAAATATCGTATCAACGTATCATCGGACAACGGATGCATGAAAATCAAGCTTAACGCTTTCAAAAATTAACAATCATAATTGTCATAATATGTGTATTTTCGTGGGACAAATTATATATTTACCTTCATTATTGTTATTGCATCTTTATTATCGTTATGTCAAAGGAAAATGTCTAAACAGAAACCTGTCAAACCTCTGACCCATTCTGAGATATCTAAAAAGATCATCTCTAACGAAAAATCTGTAAGATTAACTCAGGAATTGTACGATTTTTCTGGAAAGTACCGAGACGAAAATGTGGCCGACTATAACGGCAAGATGGAGGGTTTCATGAAAGCAGCCAAGCAATACAAAAAGTATAACGCTGAGACTATGATTAAGGAAAAAGTCGTTTTGCACGATAACTACGAACAGCGATTGGATTTAAGCTTTTTAAAGGAGGATCATCATGTTATAAAGGTTTGTATCTATTTATAAAGGGCCCGGTAGCGTATTTACTAAATCTAATATAGTGCAACGCAAGTAACGCCCCCATACAATTTTATTGGTCAGTTTAAAATCTAATCCGTCACAACGTATCGTTTTAAAATCTAATTGAATACAACGCAGCCACAAACGTCTTACGAGACTTTTGACATTAGGCTCCTAAATACACACGGTTATAACGCCAACATAGGAAACTCTTAATTCGTTGCAGCGCAACCTCTGTTTATTTTTCTTTAAATAAGGCAGTTAATCTAATCAAAAGAAGAATATTATAACATAATCTCCAATTATTAGTGTCTGCGAGTAATGCGTATTGTTGTTATTTTGTTGACAAAACCTAATTCATTGCAGTACATTTTTTGGCGCCGTCAGTATAAAAGAGTATGAACACAATAATAATAAGGTGGTTACAATGGTCATCGAAAAGCGTTGCACGTCACAATACGACCACCAGTAAACTTCATAAATTGACGCATGGCGTCATTGATGACGTGCCACGTTTTTTTATTTTGGACGACTGATATAGGTATACGTACACTAATAAATGATACCTGCTAGCTTTATTAATTAAGATAAACAAAGGAACTTTCGTGCAAGATTAAGTATTACAATAAATAAAAAACATCATTAATGAATTTTAGCATTAGGTATATTGGAAATGATATTGAGCGCTAGGGATTGTTGCCTCTTTGCTGGTCTGCCACTTTGAACCCTTTTAGCACCACGCCTAGGTCCAATGGAAGCATTTCTTCTGGCACGGGTAGTTGGTTGCACTTTTATAATCTCTCCTTGTCTTAGTGTCGGTCTGTTGATTGCAAAAAACGAGTCTAATTGGCTATCAGTGTTACTTTTTTTTCAATGCGTTGGTAAATTTCTTGATAAGGTCAATATTGCATGTTTGAGTTTCCGCTAAATTAGAGATTCTACTCAACTCTGATTTTAATTTAGCCACCGCTGTTTTATGTCCTTCGTTAATACTTTCTATAGAAAAAAAAAGATTAGCGATAGATAAGAAAATAGTTTAACTTCTACAGGGTTAGAAGATCAAAAAAATGTGAGTGGATTGGGATATTTTTTTTTAAATGGAACATCCTGTATATTATTGCAATTTGGCTTCCTTTCAGATCACTTTACATAATCCTAAGATATGAGTAAATAAAAAATGTATATTATCAGCTTTTTTAAATTATTAAAAATACAAGAACTGTCCTGAAAGCAAAACTATATTAGATTTTACTTTATATCATCTGTACATACTTTGCTATAAATATCGTAATCTTAAAACGTACAAGGCATTCAAAATTCTATGCCAAACTTTCTAAAACAAAATCATTTTTCTTCGGTTTTTTAAATGGAATACTTTGTATCTTATTTTTTTATTAGATGGAAAATTATTAAAAAACGAACATTTTTTGAATTTAGAGTATTTCAAAATGTTTAACGGTTTCGCAAATATTTGCGGTTTTATATTTCATATGGTCCATTCATCATTTTCCACAGCAAATTTATATCAAAGCCGCCTAATTATTTTTTTGTAGTATTTTATTGAAAGAGCCTTATGAAATAATACCGCGAGTATCTGCGAACCCGTTAAAAATTTTGAAATACTCAAATTAGGGTTTCCAATTTTCGGGATCGGGATCCCGTTTTGAAACCCCGGGGTAAGAACCTATAATCCCGGGATTGACTATCAGAATGAGAAATTTAATTTAAAGAAATACTTGCAGCTATTATATCAAAAAGAAAACGAGCAAAGAGATTTATTAAAACAGACAAAACCAAGTTACAATCATGTTTAGTAAGTAAAAAAAATAAAATTCTTGTTGCAAAAAATAAAATATAGCAAACACGGAAATATAACATTTAGATATTGACGTCAAATGATGAATCTAGGAAAACTCTCATGATTTATTTTATATTTTCTGATATTTTTACAATTAGCTAGCTAAATTATAAACAACCCGTTTTATTTTTTAGGACTGTGAAAGTCTTTGTTGTTGTTCGACATCTACGCCAAACTTGACAGGACAGGTTTATAAAAAACGGACCATTAGGCCTGCTAATTTTGTATTATTATCAGTTTTAGCACCTTAAAATTATTCTAAATCAGGTTATTTCTAGACACCTAACCCAGTTCCTGATATATGCCTTAACGAACCATGGTTTAGGCGGTATTTAACACTGAATAAATTTATCACAGCAGCTAGAACTGTTATAATACAGAACAGATTATTGAAAGTACTGGAAAAACTCAAGGTTCTTACTCCAGCAGATATACTAAAGATTCAACAATCTCCTGTTCACAGGAAATGTGAAGATTATCATTGCCATCCTGTTTTTGAGAAATTCCTATAAAGAAGGATGAAAATAGAAAAAATAGCATTAAAAAATATATTTGCCTTATAATATCAATAAAATCTATAGTAATAATAAAAAGAAGACTTTCAATTTTCAGTTAATAGTGAGGTATTAGGGATCTGTCAGCTTGTACATTATATATTAACTGAATAATATTCTTGTGCTGTACATGCTAAACATCTAAATCATCATCTGGATCTTCTTCATCCCAATCGTCCAATTTATCTAGATTATAAAATATTTTGCCATCTTCAGGTTCATTCATATTTGCACTAAAAATATTTAAAATTGGATCAATTTGTATTATAATAAAAGAATACTAAAACTTACTTAGGGAGGTAAGGTAATACTACTCTTTCTCTTGACAATTTTTCTTCATCGGTCAATCCTATTTTGAAAGTGGATAAGTTTTCTGGATTGATTTCTTTTGGCACAGCATCTTCCAAAAGCCTACTTGTGTCAGGTTTAGATATTTTGCTAGTTATAAGGCTATCACCCTCAAATTTATATTCCTCTATCTGAAATTTCTAACTCAGTAAAACTTATTATTTAAAAAATTAAATTTTTGTACATCCTGAATTACTTTTCCACCACTTTTCTTGTATATATATTGCAGACGTTTATTATGAGACATAAATTTGGGTTCCACGCTGATGCATAATGTGCTGAGATTTTCAAAAAACATACATGTTTTATTTGAGTCACCTTCAACTAGGTCCTTATGTAAAACGACTATTATTTGTTGAATAGCTGCCAAATTAATTTTTATAAGTTGAATAAAACAATAAAATTACACTAGTGTTAATTACCTTTATTATTTTTTAATGTATTAAAAATTTTGTATGCTTCAGATAATCCTGATTGAAAAATAAGATTTGATAGAGCGTCAACTACAACAACATCATTTTGTCCAAGCTTCAAACACATATTTACTATAGGATGGATTTGATTTTCATCTTGACCACCCTCTATCCATCTCTGTGGGTTTGTAACACAATCGTATAAAATAACATTTGATTCCCCCGAATATTTTCGTTGTGTCGTTCTAAATACACCTTCATAAACAAAATAGTGTAATTTATTTTGCCTTCTTTGCAGATGTTGTCTAACTAAATATTCTAATAATTTAGTGTCCCTGTAGTCTACTGAATCTGGAAGAAAACTATCAATTTGAAAGCGTCGCAAGTCGCAATTTGAAAAATGTAGAAAAATTTAATTTGTTCAAAGGGGCACATCGTTTTATAATACATGTCAACTATCCTTACCTTTAACAAGTATAAATTTTGTATATGGAAGAGTGTTAATGTAATTCTTTAACATTCTTTTATAGCATAAACGAAGCAGAAAAAAAGGTAAACAAACACGTTGTTATTGTTTGGTTAGATTTTTCTTGTGGAATTTTCTCATTAAAATGTCAAATTCAAATTAACATATTAATGTTTCAGGCAACCAGTAATATAACAGTTCTGTAAAAATCACGGGGATGTCACTTGTATGGGAAAACAGGCAACAGTCAAATTTAAACGTGCCAGGACCAACGACAAAGAAAGCAACATCTGCCAGGCATTAGCTTTCTTTGTCACTCACATTGCTTAAATCATGATACCGCGGCCATTTTGTCAACAAAGAAGCTGGCCGGGCTGTCCTGGCAAGTGATTTAAAACAATTTTGCTTTTTTACAATATTAAATTACCATTTGGATGTATTTAATGCGATTATTCAGTTAACTGGTAAGTCAGAAATTACACACAAATACTTTATTCGTAAATCCAACTAAGATGTAAACGTATTTTTGTATTTTTTAGATTTCAACTTTTGCAAAGACCCGCCGATAGAACTTGCCTGGCAGCGTACCTGTTTAATTAAACGTATTATTTCCTGATAATAATATCAAAACACGTAAGTACCTCTATAATTTATGATGAAAAATGATTTTGATTATGTTTTATATTATTTAAATACTTTATAACCTCAAATAATAGTAAGATCCTTGTTTATATCGCACAGCCCGTTCAAAACTGTATTGTCTTCAAAAAATGTTTACAGAACAAACAATTATTACAAAAACAATGTCCTTTTAATCTGATTTATACCTCAGAAGGATGCCAGTTAAATTTTTATTAAATCAACATTACATTATTTGGCCATTAATATGCAAAAAGGAGCATATTGCGTTAACTTAAATTTTCTTTTACTTCTCCTGACAATGTTCTCTATATTCTCTATTTTGAGTTAGTAAACTTTTGAACGGGATGTGCGATATATAAAATACATAATATATCCAAGGGCATGATCTGATAAAAGTATTTTTTGATGCATTTTTTGGTTGTTTATGCACATTGGCTTGGTTTATGTTTTATTCAGCTTATATTTATTTGGTATAACAGTTTTTTTTGCCTTTGGAATGGCATGCATTGAGGCTAGATAGTGTTTCATTAGACCATTAAAGAAATTTAAATTAGCATATATTTTTTGTGATGTTAGTGTGTTATCATGATACAGGTAGTTGTATCATAGTGCCTTATGCATGTTATTTACCTATTATATACTTATGTATTATCAGTAAATAGATGATAATATACTACTAAAATGTCTTTTTAATAGTATGTTTATCTGTCCAATTCACTAGTTATTTGCAAAATGTATTTTGAACTAATTTAAGTCATTAATTGATCATCTTTCTTTTTCAGGTTCCGGGATATTCTTTTTCATTGTTAAAAAATATATATATTTCAATATTATTGTAATATAAATCGCAGCTCTAAAAATAAATGATATTGTTTACTAATGTGTAATTTATTTACTATGAATTTTCTCTGAAAATAGTAAGTCTTTAATAATATCATTGATTTGCTGTATAAAGTTAATAGACATATTTTTAATACATTAAATTATATTAAAGTAATAAAAATATGTTTATTAACTTTAAACAGTAAGTCAGTGATACTTATAAAAATATTTTTTTAAATTTCCCTCTTTTAAGCCCCGCCCCTCCAATTCCCCTCAATTTAGCTAGTACTGCCAGGCGACACCAGGTGGCGTCTGTTTCCATTTTTTAACATGAAGTTAGCATTTCTTTAATGTACCTATTCTCTGGTAAAAATAAAAAAAAAACATAAATCATAAATGTTAATCAAATTATTTTAATTTTTAACCTGAAATATATTGTTCGACTTCAGTTCACAAGAAACAATAAATTTTAAGGTAAAATATAAGTGATTTATGTATCTATAAAATTCCATTTTTTTTACTATATAGTTGTCCATCTAGTGGAGAAAAGAGAAAATATTGAAATATTACCATGTTTCTTGACAAAATTGTGACAAATTTTTAGTCATTTTTAAAGTTTTTCTATTTTTATAATTAAATAATTTACAAATAATTTTTTACAGTAACAATATGGAAAGAAAACATAATATAATGGTAAGTATTTTATTAAGAATATTAAATTCGAGCTATATTGAGCATAAAAATAAACATATTTTAATTAATTTTATGTTACGGCATCAAAACAGCTAATGAAGGATTTAACGTATTGCGCTTTATATAAGCACGAGTACCAGACAAATTTAACGAAGATTTACAGATACACCTGCCAAAAGGGGGAAATATGTTGTGAGAGTTCAAACGGTTGTTGTCCTAAAACAGTAAAGTATTATCAATCATGGTGTTTTTGGTGAGTATTTCTTTTGGGTATATATGATTTCTTTTAAATCATTTTCATAGTTTTATGTGATGTTATATTATCTTTTCTTAGCTCTTTAATTTCAATATCTTAGGGTTTTTGCCATCGGTATGGTTTTGGTGTCTTATTTGCTATGTTGGTACTGCAAGAAATTAGAAAAAGAACGCCAGTCTGAAAGAAGAAACGCTGAGAACAGAATAAATACACCAGGAATTCTACCATCTCCGAGAGCTGCAGTACCGAATCGAAGTAGCAATGTGGATTATTTATTAGAAACTTTGATAGCAAATTATAGAAGTGGTGAGTAGAAAAAAATTCGTTAGGTTATAGGTTAAATCACAGCTTATTTTCGCTCGTTTGAAAAATTGGTCTTTATTCAAAATATCTGAGCTAGATAGGTATAGGAAATCTCATATAGTTTGAAAGAGCATTTGAATCTGCTTCGCTTTATTTTAAAAAATACATAGAGTTGCATTATTTAATAATAATTTTAAATTATATAATAATATTATATAATTTTTTTTAAATAACGAAGTTTTTATGTAAAATAAATATTTAAAATAGACCACCAATTTTTGATACCCCTGTATTGATTTAAGGAAGCAATCGAATTTTTTAGTAAAGTGCATTTCTTCTCTGGCTTAAAAGTCAGCACAAGAAGTAATTCTGAAAAGTAATGTACAGGGTGTTGACAATTTTTTTTTATTATAATATGCATAGTTAAATATCTTTAAATATCTCAAAAACCAAATATTTTAAACATATTAAACCCTCATAATAAATGCTTTATTTTATGCCCAAGAATCCAAAAATGAAATAAAATACCGGGTGTTCCATAAGAAAAAATATAACTTTGGTATGGAACTTAGTTCTGACACACTCTGTACATTTCAAAATAATTTTAAATTATATGCACATTTTCTTCCCATAAAATATTTTGTTTCTATCTTTTCGTTTTCGTATAATCACCGAGGCGAATGAGGTGCGCCACCCTGTATTTGAATTCTAAATTTAGTTGTTTAATTATTTTATTAGGCCTAAATTCAGATCCCAATTCGAGTTCTAGCGCACCTAGCCTAAACGCCAAAAATGGATCTCCTCCAAATTATGTTGATGCTCTCAAAATGCCTAAACCTCAAGAGAACACCCAGCAGAGTACTGCTAGAATGGATCATCAGACACATGATGCGAACAGTTTTGTTGTAGTAGTTATTAATGATGATGAGGCTGTACCATCGTACGAAGAAGCAGTGAAAAAGTTTTAGTAAACTTTACTTTATGTTGTTATACATATTTTTAATTCTCAATAAAATACCCATAGGTTACTTTATACTGAAATCTATAGCATTTGATAGTACTTTTTGAGAAGTATTAAGAGATTTATTTTTAACTAGCGTGTACCCGCGACTTCGTTCGCGTCGAATTAATCATTTGTAATGGTGATGATAAAGCAAAGCAAGAATTTCCATTAACATACAAACTGGATAAAATTTTCTCACATTTATGTCAGCATGAGAAAAAACAATATAGCGATATTATTATATATTTTGGCAGTTACTAAATATGAAAGATAAAAATCATTTTCACCGCATTTCACCTCCTTAGGGGTAGATTTGAAAAAAGTACTGCGATAACAAAAGAAATATAAAAAGGTACTTTAATAGAGCCTTATTTAAGTACCTCTTTGTAAACCACGTTTTTTGTTGCATTTTCTGGCTGTAAAATAGCCAAGCTATTACGCGAACTTACTCTAGAGCACGCGCATAGAGTTGACCATGGGAAAACAGTCGTAGCGTAAGACCACTCCAGCTCTACTTAAAGATTGCCCTTGAGCTTTGTTGATTGTCATAGCAAAACAAAGTTTTAAAGGAAACTGTACACGTTTAAACTGAAAAGGATAGTCTGAGGGAATTAGAGAGGAATACGTGGTATGAAGATTGTTTCTCCCAGACGAGAACCAGGAAATAATAGTAGATTCTATTACGTTGTTTTGTAAAGATTTAACCTGTAATAGAGTTCCATTGCATAGTTTCGGAGGTCTCAAATTCCGATTAAGCATCACTGGTGCCCCTACTTTTAAGCTTTTTACGTCAAGCAGTTTAAGCAGAATGGTGGTTAGTCAATCACCCAATTTTTTGGAACACCCTGTATGATTTTTTAAAAAAATATGTAAAAAACAAAATAAATTAAGCGTGTCCAAGCGTTTTCCCGAAAGACTAACCGTTTTTTAAATAACAAATATTGTAATATTTGAGGGGCGTTTTCACCCTCTTGGAATTTGAGATTCGAGAAACCCCTCCTTATCGAACCTCTACACCCCACAGTCAATCCGTTTGACAAAAATCAGCTTTAAACGTCAAGCAGTTTAAGCAGAATCGTGATTGCTCAATGGCCATATTTTATGAAACACCCTGTATAAATTTTGAAAAAATGTTAAAATATGTAAAACAATAAAATAAAATATACATTTTTAAGAGTTTTTCCGAAAAACTCACCGGTTTTTAAATAAAAAATATTCTAATATTTAAGGGGTGGTTTCACCCCCTTAGAATTCGAGTTTCGAAAAATCCCTTCTTATCGAACCTCTACACCCTAAAGTCAATCCGTTTTCCAAAAATCAGCTTTTTATGTCAAGCGCTTTAAGCAGGATCGTGATTAATCAATGACCAGATTTTTCGAAACACCCTGTATACATTTATAAAAAAATCTTAAAACATGTAAAAAAATCAAAATAAAATATACGTGTTTAAGCGTTTCTTCCTAAACTTGACCGTTTTTTAAATAAAAAATATTGTAATATTTCACCCCCTTTTTACCCCTTTAGGGGATGAATTTTAAAAAATCCTTTCTTATCTCACGTAAACATCATAAAAGTGTGCAAAATTTCAGCTTTCTAGGGTTAAGGGTTTGGTCTGGGCGTTGATGAGTCAGTGATCAGTCAGTGATCAGGACAGAGATTTATATATAATATATAGATTATACATACATACTAATTATTATTACTATTACGGATTTTCTAGGTCTTTATATTTAAATACAGAGTAACCCGCTTAAGTAATTTATTAGACAACTAAAATGTCACTTCTATAGTGTTCCGTAATACCACAAAAATACCCTTATTGTCTATACAGGGTGGTCCGAACTGTATTCCGAAAACTTCGGCAGCATCTTCTGCAGATAAAAATAAGTAAAAAAGGTCTTATAAATGTATGCCCTAAAATGCTTAGTTTCGGAGATATAGGGTGTAGAAGTTTCATTTTTATTTCGATTTTTTCCAAATAATTTCTGAAGTAACGTCAATATTTGGATGAAAATTGGTGTCTGGGAGTTTTTTGACATGAGAAATTTGATTTTGATGTCAATATGACTCCTACTTGTAGAGGACGTCACCTATACATTTTTAACTGGTTTGAAGAATAATAACTTTTCGTCCGTACCTGTATAAAACTACTAAGTAAAAAATATACATTTACGACGTTTTTAACGTTAAAAAGCTCTCTTAATAATAATCGCTACGAGTAATAGTTCTCGAGATATTTGGAATCGAAATTATCAATACCTGTCATCATTGACATAAATTAAACATGTTGACTAAATAGTTATTAGACTGAAATCATAAATTTGAAATATTTTTGTGCCAAATCATCACCAATCATCATTTTCACAAATTTATCATTTCAGTCAAATATCTATCTATTCAGCATGTTTATTTTTTGTTAATAATGACATGTATTGACTATTTCCATTCTAAATATCGTAATTTTTCTGTAGAAAATTACGAAAACGTATATTTTTTTACTCATTAGTTCTATACAGGTACGGCCAAAAAGTTATTACTCTTCAAAACAGTTAAAACACATGTAGGCGGCGCTCCCTACAAATAGGAGTTATATTGACATCAAAATCAAATTTCTCATGTCAAAAAACTACCAGACACCAATTTTTATCTAAATATTGACGTCACCAGATATTCTTATTGCTATAACTCAAAAACTAAGAGAGACACAAAATAGAATCAAGAGATCGATTTTGTAGAGAATGCAGATTTTTATGCAGATATTTCCTACAATAAGCAAATACAACTTTCTCGTAGCTCTGATACTTACAAAAGTAATTGGCGAATGAAGTTTCTTGATGACGGACGGACGGACGGACTGACATTTTGCTAAAACCATATATATTTTTTGAATTCCTGGGGTCTCAAAACGTTGAGAAAAGCATTTTTAGCCATAGTCAAATTTCGTCCTAAACCAATATATTCCTTATCATAAGTTACGAAAAGTAAAAACATGTAGAGATGACAACTAGTACCTACCTGTATAATTCATAGATAAAGGAAATAAATTTAGATTGGAAATGGATTGGAATGCCCGTCAAAATTTTGGGTTGCGAAATTGTTTTGGGTCGCGACCGTTGTACGCGATCTAGCGCTGCTATAGCGGTTGCTATACATATATATCTAGGGACTTTAGGTTGCCAAGAACAACCTCAAACAAAAACAGAAATAATTTTCTCTTGTCAAAGTCAGAATCTTCAAAAATTATAAAATGTTTAAAAATCTAAACCGCTCTCATTGAAAAAAATCTGAAAAGTGTTTAAAGCGTCCATTTTCAAAGTAATTATTGCTATCTTGTGAGTTTAATTTAAGTTTTATTTACTCAAACCCGTGATAATTGTGAAAAAGTGGCATTAAAAACTTAAAAAGCTGTGCTGTGAACTGTGAACTGCAAAAACCATCGTGAATCGTGGCATAACGTCGGTTTCCTATGTTTCATAGGTATTTCATACATGTCCTTATATAAAAAAAGTTTCTTGTATGCAGCACACTGTATTTTATTTATAAAATTAAAAGAAAATAATAATAAATTTGAATAAATGATATTTGGCGATACAATTACGGAAAAAGCTGAACCGTTCCGAAATTTTCAAAAGCTTTGGGTCGCGACAGTTGCAAGAATAGCGCCAAATAGTGTTTACATTGTCCCTTTGAATAAGAAAACTAAGGAAGGAGCATAATGCTATCCATGTATTCATGCATGGTGGGCGGAAAAGGCACCATAAAAGCTCTCTAGGGTGGGGATCCTTGACAGTTCTGTTTGACGATTCATTTGACATTGAATTTGATTTGAAATTTTGTGGATTTGTCAGTCTTTATGGAGCTTATTTTATGTTATTTATTATTTATTCTACTACTGATAGTTGTATAAAGGTAGTAAATCTAGATGGAAATTGTGGCAGAACTTAAATTAACAGTGACACGACTATTACTTGTCAAAGATTAGATGTGAAAGAATTTAGAT